ATATCATACGAAGATGCACCAGTTACGGCACAAGGGGCGAGCAGGGGTCGCAGATGCATGAGGACGAGAAAATCATGCGATCGAGATACCCCTGAATTGGTGCTTTGAGTGACATGCACTTGCCTTTCACGCAGTTTTGTAATTTGTTAAAATCAAAGTTAGGGATCCTAGAACTATTCGAGCATCAATATCGTTTTGAAAATCGAAGAAAAAGAAAATCAATGGCTGGTTGGTCTGAGCTGCGAGAGACACTTGACTAAGCTCTACAGGCACGCGGATCCGCACGCAACCGTTTGTGGTCCCATTCATGCACAGTTCGCACGAAGGAACTGCTATGTCGATACATGCGCTTTTAGCAGATATTGATTGATTATCATCGTTTCTCACACGACTTGCTCGCTGCTCTGATTCCTGAGAGTGCGTTTACGAGTTGACGGTGCTGCGCAACGGCCGTTTTGGGGGCGGGCGAAGCGGCGATCGCCCGGGGCGCCGCGGAAACAAACAATAATATAACAGGCGTTTTTTTATGTGGTTAGCGTCCACTTCATGCGAACTAGTACTAATCGGGATGATAGAAAAATTAAAATTATTAATGATATCATGTTATGCCGTGCAGCCTCCTATTAGCGTACCGTTGAGTCTGATAGCAGTTTCATGATCGGGCAGAAGCCCCCCCTCCCCCAACCTTTCCCTCGTATATGCGGCATGATGCCACGCTGCGACTGGGCATTGGGTATCAAGTGGGGCTGTCACGATTGGTTGATGCTTCGATACTAGTATCGTTGGTTGGAAGAATCGAGAGTTTTTTCGATCATCAGGATGTATGCGCAACGTTTTTATTATTATTATGGGAAATGCCCCATTGGATTGAAACGAGTACAGTACAATACAGTCCAGGCGGGAAAAGGAAGAGGCGGCGTGACCCGCATGGGCTTTACATTTCTTATCACGCTCAATTTCTGGAAATGCTGGGGCTGACCATATGAAAGAAGGAAGGAAAAAAAAAACAACCAACATGCTGGATTCGGAGACAGGAAGTGGGAAAAGGCCAGGGAGGGAATACTAAGAATTTTTTTTTTTCTTCTGTTTTCGTCTTCGGTTCGATCTCATGAGGTGCATGCTGGGAAAGTGGACTGTTCTTATGTTCCCTTCATTTTGAAACGTACATCGGTTAATCCCCCTCTCTATATTCCTGTCTTTCTCTTTAATATGAAGGCTTAATTTTTTAATTTTGTAACTTGCCCTGGGGAATTTTACCTCTTTACTTAAGGTGAACTCAAAGTGAATTATTTACTCGGACGTCGCTTGTATCTAGGGCTATACCGATGTTTCGGCAACCGCCGGTATAGCACCATCGACAGGTTTCCTATCTGCGGGTGCCGATGTCCTGTCCAAAGGACACCGTGTAGAACAGGGATGTGCAACCCGCGACCCGCGGGCCGCATGTGGCCCGTAGACCCACTTCTTGCGACCCGGTAATGCATAATGGGATGAAAGATAAAAGTAAAAAAAAGCTTCATTGCGGACCCAAGGCCCATCACAACTTTGGTCATCCCTTTGTAACCAGAAATAAACTGAGCCCTTTTACTTCCTTCCCCTAATTATTCCTCATGGGGGCGGTGCTACAAATGTCCCGAGGAAGGAGGTTCTAGATGCCAAAGGCCATTTTTTGGCATTGGAAATTCCTACGGGAATTTCCTTCGGGTAGAGATAAGAGTCATCGGGTAATCAGCGCGACCATATCTCTTCATATGCCCTGAGGGAAAAGGAGCCTTTGCTTTAGCATTCTATGGCCCGCGTGAAGCTCAGACATTTCCATGCAGTCCACTGCCGATGAAGGTTGCACACCCCTGGTGTAGAACGAAGTAAAAGAAGAAGAAAAAACTATGTGAAAGGGCTTGGCAACTGATTCTCAATGGCAATAATAACAAATTAGGACTGTCCTTATGCATCCATCGATGAATGGATGTCATTCAGGGCTATTTCGGGCGGGCGAAGCGGACGATCGGCCGGGGCGCCTGCGGGAGGAAGGGAGGGGCGGGGGGCGCAAAGAAACAATAATAAAAACAAGTATTTTTTTATGGTTAGCGTGGAAGAAAATTCCTTGACTTGGCTTTGATTATTTACAAATGTAACGTGATTTCCATCAGTTCCGGGGATAAGGCCCTAATCGTCAATGTTGCGGTGGTGCTTCGGGTCGCAGTTGATTTGGTGGGGGGGCCAATATGCCTAGAAATGGCCCTGCTGCGTAACGCCACCTTACGCAGAAAAACCATTAGGTCGATTTTCTTGATTTGCATCAAGATAGTTAATAAAGGGCAGACGTCACTTTAGGAAAGGTGTCATGGCAAACCGTAGGGTATTCATGAAGAAAAAAAGGCCAGGTTGACGCCCAATGAAGCTCAACATGTCAATTTTGAATAAGGGCTGGCAAAGGAGCAAGTGTAAGACTTAGCTGAAATTGAATTCGGAGCCGAGAGGTCAATCAAGCCGTCGGTGGATGTCTCTTATTGGGGACAGGGTCGGACTGGCGAACTGGGGGCCCCACGGGAAATTACGGACAAAGGGTCCCTGCCCCCCCCCCCCCCAACCCCCCATAATACAGACCAAGGGGGCCCCGCAGCGGGTGCTGTGGCCCTTTGGTCTGGGGGCCCCCTGGGAAATTTCCCGATATCCCCATCGGCTAGTCTGACTCTGATGAGGGTTTAGAGACCTCGGTCTCGTCAAAATGGAATGTTCTAGTTCCTATAGGTTGTCTATTTTTTTTTTTAATGAAGAAACGGCAGATTGGCGCCGTAAGCCATCATATGACGCAAAGGAGGATGAAGACTGTGAGGAGGTAATCCCCCACCAATCTCAAATGCGTCTGTCGACCCGTATACAGTCGTCCCTCGCCACTTCGCGCTTCGACTTTCGCGGCTTCACTATATCGCGGTTTTTTCAAATACCTGTATATTGGGTAATATGAGTGTAATGGTGACTAAAGAGTGTTATTTTTTCATGTCTATTAGAGCCCTCTAGACATGAAATAACACTCTTTAGTCACCATTACACTCGTATTACCCTATATACAGGTATTTGAAAAAACCGCGATAGAGTGAAGCCGCGAAAGTCGAAGCGCGAAGTGGCGAGGGATGGCTGTAGGGGCCCAGGCTCTGAAAGACCTGAGAGGATGAGGTTGGAGCGAGGACAAGCAACAATACCACAAGGAGTAATTAGAGGTAGCCGAGTCCTTTCATTCCCCCTGGGAGAGGATTGGTTCATGACAGTGGCGTAGCTATCGAGTGTGCAGGCGGTGCAACTGCACCGCGGTCCACAGGCCAAAGGGGCCCAGGCACCGGGCTACGACGAGGGAGAAGGCGGGTGGTGAGCACTGGCGTTTGGCTGAGGCCAATGGCGTGTTTTGGCTGAAGAGTCGGGGGGGGGGGGGGGGGGGGGGGGGTACCCGCCTTCTCCCTCGTCGTAGCCCGGTGCCTGGGCCCCTTTGGCCTGTGGACCGCGGTGCAGTTGCACCGCCTGCACACTCGATAGCTACGCCACTGTCATGAACCAATCCTCTCCCAGGGGGAAAATTATTATTCCCCCCCAGTAAAATACCCTACTGGCTGGGGGCCTTTGGCTAGGGCTAGAGGTGCGTGCCCGGAGTTGAAAAGGAAGGTAAAAAAGAATCAAAGGTATTCTTCGCGAAATTGGACAGAGCCATATTGCATCTGGAACGCCGTTTCGTATCATTAAGTCAAGGGAACACAACTTACGGCCTGCGAGGCCCTTACCCACCATGATTGATAGCGTTGTAAGTATTACTATGGCTCTTGCCCTGTTGGCCACAGCCGTGGTCAGCCAGATTGCTGCCCGCAGTAGGTGAGTAAAAATCGCGAATGAGCCTCAGAGTCTTTTGAACTGTGCAACCCTGGACTAATTGAAGTGATGGCCACTTTCAATGCTATTCGCCCTTCCGCACTGGCTTCAGCTAACGAAGACGAGTTTTATGATGCCGGAGAAAATCTGGTGAAACGATGACTTTGACTAGTCGCCCTCGCTCCCAGGCCAAATGCCGTCATTCGGAGTTTGTCTGAAATCAGACACTTAAAGAAAATCCAGGGAAGAAGCGGCTAAACAACTGGTGATCGAAAACCACGTTCTTTTTTCGAGTTTTTTTTTTCCGGGCATTTCCACGACATGTTTCCGGTTTATGAAAATACTAGAGACAAGAGCAACCGCGGACCGCTCCTTTTCGAAACTTAAAATCATCTAGAGCTATTTGAGAAGCACAATGGCGCATGAACGACTCAACGGTCTCGCTCTTTCATCAATAGAAAATGAGTGTGCAAGGAAATTGAAGTTTCCAAAACCATCGATGTCTTCGCTCAGCAAAACGCGCGGAAGAGGCCCCTTCTCTTGGTGAGTACCCATTGTTTAACCATACCAGTAATTACATAGTTCATTGTTCAGAAATTGGACAGGGAGGGGGAGGGGGGCATTTCTTTCCCTGCACCGAGACCCATGTCAAAGAAGCTACGCCACAGGTTCATGATGCATTGCCGATCTTATTAAGACAAATGCAGGACTGCGTAGCAAGCAAATCCGAGACTAGGCTACGGGTCAATCGATAGACGGCGAAGCAGAACGAGGCAAGTCCTGGAGTTCCCCCCCCCCCCCATATTTTTTGGGTTATGGTGATGGGCAGCCGGTTTGCGTAAGTATTCGCTGCTCAGACCCATCTGAAATTCAGTGGATAATTATTGCACTAGGCTCCCCTTCGGAAGAAGCGAAAGGCCTACTTCATTGCCTGCATTTTAGTATATGCAGCTATTCCACATGTACAACTAGCCTCCCGAGAAAGCGTTTAATGATCACGGTCACGGAGAGTTCCAACAAAAATGTTTAATTTGTTTAAACCCGATCGTTTCTCGGATTGTGACATGATTGAAACTAAAACCGAGTGAGGGGTCGTTATGGCTAAAGGGATTTGGATAGAAACTCACAGAGCCCCTCCGGGGATGACTGAAGTTTTTACTGCTCGTCTGGAGGAATCTTAAAGAATAGGCACGGCAAGAGCGAGAAGAGTCAGAAGAGTTTTGATTGGTTGGAGGGTGTTGAACGTCATACGTAAACAATATGGCGCGGCGCGGGAAGCTCGCGGTTCCGTTCGTGCTTGTGGTTCCTCATTCTGGGAAAAACCCTGGAACTCTTTTGCAGTCTTCGAGGAGGGATACGTCTTTGGGTGATAACATGGAATGGGACTTTTGGGACTCTCGCTTCGTCATGAGCAATTCCCCGACTCGGTTCATGGAGGGGGAGCATCGAGAGAGAGGAGCATGTGGGGGTTGGCTGCGACCGTCCTGCCTTCCCATTTCCATCATTCTCATTCTTATCGTCCTCGTCGTACTGATCCCCGTCCTCACCCAGACTCAGACTGCTGAAGGAGTTGCATTTCACAATCAAGTGGTGGCGTCTCTTGTTCATTGCAGACGAGAGCCGTCGACTTGCAGGTAGGACATGTGGACTTGTATGATTTTTTAATTATGTTTTTGAATGCATCAGGCTGGCTTTAGCCTATCTTCATCCACTCCTATTGTCACTTGGAACATGACCATAGGATGGAGCTGGTGGAGAGTATTCCAGAGAATGTATCCTTTGCCACTGGCCCGACTCTCATGTCAACATTCACAGCATGGAAAAAGCTCCTGAATAGTGCTGTTTTCAATGTCAGTATAGCCTCGTTCTATTGGACACTCAAAGGGAGTGATGTCATACCTGATCCCTCAGATTGGCAGGTGAGCAAATTATCCTCTTGTCTGCCTTTTATGTGACTGCACTTACTTTATTGCTTTATTGTTTTTTGTTGCAGGGTGAAGAAATATTCAACCTCCTAATGGAAACAGGTAAAAAGGACAATATCACCATGAAAATAGTGCAAAATAAACCCTCTTGGAATTATCCAGACCACAATACTAAGGAGCTTCAAGAAGTTGGTGCAGCAGAGGTAAGAGATTTTGATTGCTGATTTTAAGGGATTACAACTTGACTTGCTTCCTGCAGTTTTAAGATGCCAGTATTATTGGCTGAGTGGTTTCATTTGTTGTTTATTGGTCAGGTACGAAACCTAGATATGAAGCGACTGACTGGAGGAGTTCTTCACACCAAAATGTGGTTGGTGGATGGACATAGTGCCTACCTTGGAAGTGCCAACATGGATTGGAGGTCTCTAACACAAGTTAGTTATGTTGATGATGATGCTCTTCTTTATTCACTGAAAAAGCTCTGACTATAATTATCTCTTATGCATTCAGCAAGTTTTCATTAATATTTTCCATGTGCATTTTTTGATGGGTGTTGTATAGGTGAAGGAGTTGGGGGTCCTCATAGAAAACTGCCCTTGTGTTGTTGGTGACCTGCAAAAGATCTTTAAAGGATACTGGATCACTGCACTTCCAAAAGCAGAGATCCCAATAAAGTGGCCATCAGAGCTTAATACTCCTTTTGACATGTATCACCCTTTGATTGTTCCTGTCAACGATGGCAATGGCAGCATATTCTTTGGCAGTGCACCCCCATCATTCTGTCCAGATGGGAGGTCAACTGACTTAGATGCTATATTACATGTCATACAAAGTTCCCATGAATTTGTTCATGTCTCTGTGATGGATTACTTTCCTTGCTCTTTATACTCAGCAAAAGTGAGGTAAGATGTCATTCCTACTTGTGGAAACATGTTGCTAGGTGGTAGTATCTAAAGAGGATGTATATTCTGATTGCAGGTACTGGCCTCTGATTGATGATGCCTTGCGGGAAGCTGCTATAGAGAGGAAGGTTCAGGTGCGGCTCCTTATCAGCTTGTGGAATCACACAAGGCCTGATCTGTTCTACTATCTTCGGTCACTGAGTGCACTGAATGGAGTTCTGCCTGGCGTTCAGATTGAAGTGCGATTGTTCCAAGTCCCTGCTCTTTCAACACAACAAGCACAGATCCCCTTTGCTCGGGTGAACCACAACAAATACATGGTCACTGAATCCACAGCATACATTGGTTAGTTGCACCTTTGCATCTGGATTTCTCCACTTCGTTATGAGGAATTTTCTGATGGAGTCATTTCTATCTACAGGAACGTCCAATTGGTCAGAGGACTACTTCACACAGACAGGAGGTGTTGGGCTTGTTGTTGGGAACTCTTCCCTCCACAAGGATCTAGAGCTTGTATTTCAGAGGGACTGGGACTCCAAATACAGTTCACCTGTTCCTGCACCCTCATAGTTGAGAGGGTATGCCATTGAAAGCCTAATAATAGGCTTAAAGCATCAATGTGATATTCTGTGACTTTCAAGTATAGGATAGAACAGGACAGTCCAGGATGTGACACCTAACTGAATTTGCCTTCATGTGAAACTGCAATCTTTTTATAGTCTACATCTTTTCTAAAGGTTTGCTCCAAGAATGTCCTTAAACTGCAGAATGGGAACCCCAAACTTCTGTGTTATGATAAAGCAGTGCCAAAATGAAGGGGAACTCAACTGAGCCTTGCAAAAGCCATGACCAGCTCAGTCTGCCTCCATGCAACATTAGGCCTGGATTCTGAAAGCCCACCAACATCAATTGAGAACCCTCCACAGAAGGCCATTGAGGTCTCCTTGAAACTTGGAGCTGCTTCGTTATGACTGTCATTGAGATGAAGATTCCCATGGGTTTGAGAACTGAGATAAAAGAAACACTAAAAAAATTGACACTTGAAAAATAACAGTTTTTTAACTCTGATCACATAAACACTGACCTGGATCTATGCATGACCAAGGGCTTGACATGAGTTTCTGGTGGAATGTGGACAATTTAAGCTATAGAGCCAAGTCCAATTTTCTTTGCTTTCTTTTCATGAGGTTTGGATTTTTCTTGGTCTTTCAAGTAAAACTATGAACTTGTCTGATTAACTCTCATGGTTTTATTCATTTGGAAATAGGGATTCTTGAGACCCTGAACCACACAAAAGAAAGGAATGCCAAAATCAACTGAACAGGTAGAATGCAGGTTGTGTAGACACAATAGTACAGCACTGGATGAGGAGCTAAATGATACACCTAGTCTTCAAAAGAACCATGCATCAATTTGTTTAATTCTTGAATTCCTCAGTACTCACAAGCACCTACTGAAATCAAATGTACAGTGTATCACAGCTTAAGTTTTTCCTTTCCAGGGTTGTACAATCTCATGAAGTGCCACTGCTCCTCTGGTTACTGTAGAATCTTTTGTCTAAGGTTTTTTTTCTGCTTGGAACAATTATTGAAAGCTCTAGTAAATTCTCATGGCAATTCCTATTCTCTGGCCTTGCTTCTTCCTTCATTCAATGCCCTTCTGGCAGAGCACCCGACTGGGACTGAAGTTCCAAATTTACAAAATCAGAGGAATGGTCGCTGCTTGACCTACAGACATCATGGCACACATTATACAGTAAAGCACAGTACCCAGATAAGACTAAGTATTGGCTCAAAAGGTTTTTGTGCTCAAGGTATGGAAAAATTTGACACCTGGACATGCACATCATGAACACCCTGGACAACCTTGAATTCAGCACCCCAACTCAATTTATATATTTATTTTTTTTTGAACAGGGAAATTTGTAGCCCCAAATTTTTAAAATGGCACAAAAACAATTTATTGAAAGGCTTACCATGAAAGACAGTATTAAACTAAGCAGCATGGAATGAATGCCAAATTTTCTTATTGTAATCACAAAAGAATTGGATACTGTCCAAAAAAAAACCCCTAACCGACAATATCAGAGCAAATGGGGATTGGAGAAGGCAGGAAATTGCAGCTCCCTATCACAGAACATCCCATTTAAGTAATAAGAATGGAGGGGATAAATGGAAAAGGGGAATGTCCAACTTTCATATCACTTCACATGGACCATATTTCTTCAAATCATCAGGACAATTCAGAAATATCACTTATACTTGAGTATAATCAAAGGGAAATGAGAATCTTGACATACCTGCTCATTTTGAGAAGACAGTAGCAGCAACAAAGAATTTAAAAAATATGCTAAAATCAATAGAGGATTATTAAGAGATGGCAGAGTTGGAGAATGGATGGGGGAGGGGGGCTGGTCCCTGGACCTCCCCACCCCCCACTCTATTTCAAACTAGAACTTTTCGCATTCCTTTAGACAATACAGAGTTGCAGGTTAGCATTCTTTGATTAATAGTGACAAAGTATGATTCAAACCTAGATTGTGGATGAAAGAACTGAAAGTAAGAGGGAAGAACATCTATGGAAGCAGTTGTTGGAATCTGGCCTTCCCACATATGAAAATCTAGCCACAAAAATGCACAACATTGAAAAGGATCTAATCCCACTAACTGCATTGACCCTTTAACCCTTTGAGGAGTGAGTTTTTTTTATGCCAAGATCACACGTAGTGAATACATGGAGGGCAGGAGGATGTCAGCCCATATATATATACAGGCATACTTGTCAAAGGGTTAAAGGCAATTACTTCTGCATCTCATGCAGAGGTAAATGTACAGTATTTCTCTGAGATTTGTATGCTTGACAGAAAGCTAGGCACTAACAACAAAATGCTTTGCACATGCCTAAAAATGATTAGTATGTGTTGGATGATCTTTCAACCCTTCCTTTGATGAGTTGGCAGGAGTACAAGGCATGCAATACAAACTGATCATTTTGAAAGACAAAGTATTTTGCTTTAAGTGTGCAGCAATTTGCAGCTGGTATGAAAGTCTGTGAGGCATGGTAAGGGACATTTTCTGCAATGGGAAAGATGTGAAATTTTCATATCAGATAGTATTTTAGAAGTGCAAGTGGCTATTAGGTCTGATGCATATTCTAGATAACCATAGATGCAACTGTCTCAGTTTTTCTCTTCAGTGCATATAGGAACTAAGAGTGAATTGATGTTAAAATTCCCTCATCAATCTCAATTATTTCTCTGCCATCCCTCTCATTCAGATAATTTGAATAAAGGCCTTGAGACTGAAATGGATAGAATTAAACTCTTGGAGAAACTTATTTTGATTCAAATGTGAGGTTTAGATTGTTATTTGGAGAAGGCAGGGATACATATACATACATCCAAAGCCTTTGAGGTTATAACCCTGTTTCACTCACCCCTCAGTTGATGCACACCAAAACACTCCAAGAAACTCCAAAACACTCAGGAAAGTTTTTTGTTGTGAAATATGTGATGAATGAATAGGACTTGCATCACAGTTGTTATTGGGACTTTTGTAAGAAAAAAATGTGAATATCATCCTGGAACACCTATTAACAAAGGACTTCCATGGCAGTCAATCACAATCTCAGAAGCTACCTAGCTGTGGCAGATTTTTAGACATTCCACACTTAAGCCTAGCTGAAAAAAAAAAAATTTTTAAACACACACAATAGCATGCCTTCTGTAAAACTAGCCACACTGCTTCTAACTACTTTGAGAAATTTCTCAGTGAAAAAGACAGCAAATTCTAATTTTCTGACTGAAAGAAGGAAGATTCAATTGGGTTGATTTTTGATTTGTGAAGTTCCTTCAAATGCATAGAAATGTAACATCACACAAAGATCAAACAAAGAGACCATCATAAATAAAAATATTTTCCCCAGGGATGATTTCCTGAGAAGCCTGGGAAGTGAGCAAGCAGCCAGCTAAACCTGAAGAATGAGTCCACCTGCAGATATGTTATCCCCACCCCCCACTGTCTGATGGACTTCAGTGCAAACAAGAACAGGTGCAATGCAGAAGTCCAAGTTTCCCTCTTCCCAGCAAGAGACAGGTTTTCTCTCATTGAACCAGATGCGTTCTTGCTGAACCTGACTTGTAGAAAAGGAATCATCCATGATGAGCCGGGCTTTCTCCAGATTAACCTGCATCAATTTCAAACAATCATGCTAAGCTGTGCTTCAGTTTTGTTCCTGAAAAATGGGAAGGAGTCAAGTATGAAAACTCACATTGCTGGAGCCGCATACATGCCGGTTGGCAGTGAGTGATGCCTTGGCTGTGGCTGGCATAGTATTTTTCCAGGAACTGCCCTTTTTGGTGACAATGGCCTGATATGCCAAAGTATGGACATGCAGACGTGTGATTGGACGCCCAGTACTATTGCTCAGCATGCTGTGACCATAAATTGAATGCAATGTTAGTATGATGAGAAAATATGCTTGACAATATCTAAAAAAATAAAATAATGAAATACTGTGGGTTTGAACCTGAAAACACGTCTCATGTAGTCCAGCGTGGTGGCAACTCGTGGATTAGAGCTGGAGAGAATGCTGACATTCCCATAGGTCAACATGGAAAAAAGATTGGGGAGTTCCTGCTCATTCATACCAAGGGAATCAGCATGGGGAATGATGTATTTGATGAGATCTTCAAGAAATTCCTTCTCTGTGAATGAAGCCATCTCAAAATGGATCTGTGTGTCAGGTCCCATTGATTGCATCTGGTAACTAATGGACTTCAGGATACCCCTTTTCTCCTCTGCAAAGCATAGATGACATTGACCATGGGATGAAAAGGTGAGAATAAAGCATCCAGGCTTCAAGGCAAAACTTAACCATCTTGAAGAGGGAAATTATCCATCATCTGAAGGCCAGACACAATCAACAGATGAGGATTATAGGTCCTCAAGGCCTCTCCAAAAGGTGTCAATGCAGACACTTTGGGATTGTTTTCATCACTGTGGACAATAAACCTGTGGAGAGCCAAAAATATTGAAATTATGATGTATGCCATGCTGCTTCACTGCAATGAAGTTAGCCAGGAGACTACCTTGATAAATGCTTTTTATCAAGGTAGGTAAATCTTAAAAAAAAAAATTTACTGAGATTTTTATTGCTAGGGTCAACTTGACCCCACAATACAAGTTACACAATGGGTAAGAAAAAAAAAACAATGATACCAGTAAGAGGGTAAAGGAGAGCTGGAAATCTTCCTCTAAGTTTTTTTCATATTCAAAATCTCACCTCTCACCCAAATGGTTGGTGGTAGTATATTCCTACGACTAACTCTGACATATATATATTTGCCAAATAAGATTAATTGCAAAAGGAGCATCATATGTAAAGGCACCTGAAGCTGCACATTATAAAAATGCAACAAGGCATACATAACATGTACATGGTATACCTTGTGTATCCACTGCATTTGAATTTCCTCATGTTGAACATGCTTTTCCCTAAAATCCAACATCCACTGCAGTTACACATATAACTTTCCTTTATGTTGCTTTTGATGCTCCCATACAGCACAGTGACACATTTGACTTTCTTATTACCACTTTGGCTTAATTAAACCTACAGTGTTCCTAGTATACAACTACATTATATTTAAAGAATATATGAAATGCTTGTATCTGTGTAACACCACCATAAGAGGTATATCATATTTCTTCCTCTTAACATTTTCATGATTGCAGTCATCCTTATAGCAGGCTTGCTGGGTCTAAAGAGGGCAACAATATCACTCCCGTTTCATTAACAACAGATCTGATTATATCTCATTAGTAGAGGAGAGTCTTGGTCTATTGTAAGAACATTGTCTTCAACAAGAGTTCAAATTCCTGGTAAAATTACTGATATAAGAATCTATGTCAATACCAGGCTTAAAAATAAGGCAAACCCATTACCTATTAGCTCTGGGAGCCTCATAGGGTCCACATTTGGCTCCCAATGGGTACTCTAGAATGAGGTGAAGGTCATCCTCAGGGGTGGAACTTCCTGCAACTACATTTCAAAAAGAGCAACTTTATTCCTTCAGTAAATACTCTGAGAACAGCATCCATATGGGAAACTTCAAGGGACTCACAAGAAATGTTTTGGTGAAGAAGTTCAACAAGCCTTGGACTCATCATAGCACCAAGAAGGACCTGCCATCCCTCATGAGCAAACCGGAGACTCATCAGGGGAGCATTTCCTCCTACGCCTTCTCTTCGAGAATTGATTTTCTGACTAGCCTTGGTCAGGGAATGCCACACCTCTTTGCTTGATATATACCTCCTGATATAAAGAAAATTATCATCCATACTTTCATTTACAACCTAACATGTTTCAAAAGAATAAGAAAGGCCAACTAACTCTGCAGCAGCTCCATGCTGAAAGAAATAAACAAATGTCTCTTGAAACTCAAGGTAACTTCTGATGGTGTCATGATGAGATGGCTTGACATGATCCCAGTCCCATGTATCACATTTCAGGATATCAGTGGCATTCACCAACACATCCAGGCAGCCTCCATATCCTATTGCAGCCCGAGGGGATCCCTCTAGTGGGTTCTTTCTTTCAATCTTGAGAAGGGCATTGAGAATCTTTTCAAGCTTCTCCTGGTCACTTACACTGTCTTCATGTTTACTTTGACGTTGATAAATGATTGCAGCAATTGCCAACATGAAAGAAATCACAGATCCAATGTGAAGTGGGCTTTTTGGAAGCATTTTGTCACTACTGGCACTGGATCATCCAGTGGAAGGCTTATTTTGTTGCTGCATTAACCTGGTACTGTCCCTGTAAGAAAAGCCCTTGCACATCTTTTATCACATCATATGAATTATTCTCCTTACCTAAAAGGTTTCATGAAATGCTGTAGATTCCTCAGTGAAATCAATCAGATTTCAGATATAAAGAACCTTTTCTTATGTTAGCTGCTTTAGGCATACACCAGTGATGAAATGCCCTCCCACCACCATTACTGAGACTGGACAGCTTGTCACATTAGCTAATAGGTCACAGATGACTGAACAGCTGACAGATTGCCTATGACTGAAAAGGCATAGCAAGGGACATGGATCTCTACAAGGTTAAGGCTTGGGTTTAGGTTAAAGTGATTTAAGGACTATGTGAGTTGTGATTGTAACTGATGGATAAGAGTAAATTAAAATTAGTCAAATTACAAATTACAGTTACTATACTTTACTTGAGGACACAAACTAAGAAATACTGATCACAAGGTCAGAGTAATCATATTGGCCAATCTAAAACAAAATTCACCAGCTGATCTATTGACAATTACAGTGATAATGGATGCAATGGCAATACACAGGGTAGTGTGAACTATCACAGAGTGTTCCAATGAAAATAAGACCATCAAAAATTGTATATTTTTCTTGAATAAGCAAAAGGATGGTAATGACATTCAATTCCCAGAAACTCCAATTCATCCTCTTTGGCTATTGAAAAAAAAGCTGAAATCAGTAAAAGGGAAATTGGAGATATGACCACTTAAGAAAAACGGTATCAATAAATCCATATACACATAAACATAACAAGGAGAGCACACTTCATGAAGCCTCTTGTATGTAGAACCACAGGAATAAAGGGGGAAAAGCAAGGAAAATGAATGCTGAAGTGTGTCCAATCAAAGAAATGAAAGTTCCAAAGAAATTACCTGACTTTTCTAAATCCTACCAGGTCACACCATAATTTTTCATATTGTGTATTCAAATAGAGAGAAACAATCTCAACTCTCCTTTCCAGACCATATCCTTAAAAAATGGACCAGTCTCCAATATAATAAATACAAGCATTCTTCAGTAATGCAAAATAAAATATAATTGTTTCATGGATCTCAGGTGAGAGTTTATGGTGAGATTGATGTCATTCCAATTCTGCATCCCTACTGTGAGAAGTTTTACAGTGTTGCAAGTATATTGGCCCAAGTTAAAACAACAGTGCACCATGCATCTCTACCAAAGTGTCTATCATCACAATGAAGTGATGTTAGACATTGGGTTCATGTGAAGGCTTAGAAGAGAAGGCTAGGCTCATTGAGTGTTGGGAGACGAAGTGGATAAGGTTATTGAAAAGACGGCCTGCGATCATGAGGTACTCATTAAATTGATATCTGAATGTCAATACCCTACTTATTTTCAGGTGTGTGCCGTTCTCTGTTTGGGCATGGGGTTATGATGGTAGACTTGTATGCTTGCCGACAGTCTTCTGATCCGACAGATAGCAAATAGGCCTACAATAGCAATATATACCTCTGCATTACACTAGGATTTAGGCCTAAGTCTTCATCATTTGTAAGCTCAGAACCAAAGGGATGCCAAAGGCTGATTTAGAATCGAGAATACTTCAGTGATTTCCACAGGCATTCGAACAACTTCTAATATTGCGCAAGATACTTATACGGTACAAGCAGTGATGTGTACCTCCCTTGCAAGTAGTGACGTGAAGCACATAATAAAAAAAAAACCTTGTTCTAGGGGGACACAACTTCATTTGAAGTCTCTATAGCGATAGGTCTATCCAACCTGCAGTTCTGAACGAGGAAGCCTACTATATTGACTACCTATAGACAGTAGCACATGGGCGAGAACGAACCGCCGATTCAAGTCCCATCATGGTCGCCTACGTCACATTTCACCGGCATACACAGGTCATACTACTTGGACTACGGTGTAGACCAGCCCCTACGTCTGCACTTCCTACGTCGCGTCGGTTCCATTTTTTCAAAAAATTTGGAAACCTCCCGTCTTCTACGCTTCATGCTCTTGTTCTTCCCCTTGTTAGGCCTACCCCTGTAAGGTAGGAAATCTTTAAAGTCCTGGGGCGAATTAGACTAGGTGTCAGGAGTCAGGAGAGTTAGTGATATCAAGAGGCGATTTCGCCCATTTCGATATCNAGTCCCCTAACCTCCTTAATCATTCTTGTGGCCCTCCTCTGTACTCCCTCGAGCGCCAACAAATCGCCCTTATTTGTAGGCCTCCAAAACTGAATGCAATATTCCAGCTGGGGTCTTATCAGCGCCGCATACAACTCCAACACCTATGCGCGAGAGGAGCTGTTGGCAGCACGGGAGTAAGAGTGATCATAAAATGCGTATGACGCGAAGTAATGAAAAAAAAAAAAGGGGATTTGATAGATCTAGGCTACCTATTTGATAGATAGGCTTAGCTTATCATATATCGTAGCAAAGCCTCGCCTTGACAAAAAGTTCAAATGAGATAGATAACAGAAGGAACCAAATGCATGAGCTAATATTGTACAATACAATTGTCATTAATTCATGTAGGTCTAACCATGAAGCTAGACTAGTAAGCATGATCCATGCGACCAACACAAATGGGCAAAACTTATTAACTCAAAGCTAGGCAAGGCAAAGGAGTTCTTTGAAACTTGGTCGATCAGAAATTAGTTCTTCTTCCAGAAGGCTTTCCAAGTTTATGGAAAATAAGCAAGACAGTCTTTTGCCATTGGGAAGTATTTGTCTGATTCTAGGTGAATGACTCATGTTGTCTAACATTTACCAAAATAGTCAGGAAAGTTACTACATGAGAGGGAGAGACAGACAGGGTATGTGCCAATGTTTCTCCTGTTCTAATTACAGAAGATCCTCAGTTTTGACACTGGGACTGATCAGAGTCAATAGTAAAAATTTAGAAAATTGTGCAGTGCCAAAGGTGATCCCTTCTGCCTGTTTTTTTTTGGCATTATTTTTGCACACACCAAAAATTTAATCATTTATCTCTGACACTCTCTGGTTCAGGTGAACATACTATAATTAATATAAATTCAGTGTGCATAAGTTTCTAGTTAGCAGAAATTACCATTTTAGAAAAATAATTATGTATATTAAATGTAGCAAAGAAACTCGCAGTCCTGATAGGCTTTTGGTGCATGATTCTCCATGCTGAAAGGCAGTGTGGATAAATTATGTATGTGAATTGGAGTATGATAGCTGTTTCTAAAATAAATATATGAAAGTGTTTGTAGCACTACACCTTCGACCCCATTCATTTCTGGTACTTCTATCTTTGTTTTAAAATTACTCTGCAGGGTAAGGCATAAGTAACTACATGATTTTAATCATTGCTCTTGAGAATAAAACCTTTAATGCAAACAAAATACTTTTGAATGAATGATGAAAGTTTATTTCTCTCATTTTCAAAAGTCACCAGAACTTCCTAAAGGTAGTTCCACATGGGTGCCACCAATTTGATAATACCAAATCTGCCCTTTTGATAATACCAAATCTGCCCTGCAGCCTTCAAATAATTTTTCAATCTTTAACATGAAGTGGCACATATTACAACTTTTATTTTGTGTTGTAGCTGGACCAGGTGATGGATACGAGAGCTGTAGGTCTCTGTTTTGACTCGATTCCCCCCCCCTTCCAAAAAAAAAAAGTTTGTTAGAGTCAATATCTGGTGAATATTGACTCTGATGAAATATTGAATCTGGCCACTCCATCTGAGAACCTTGTCTTTCAATCCATCAACAGTTCTTTGAGTAACTGGATGAACTGGCTTTGATTTATCTAAGTTTTCATAAATTGGTTGTGAATACAATAAATTGTGCAATTAGTTGGCACAACACAGCCAGGAAGCAAAATTTAAAATTCCAGCTGCAAATTCACTGAATTTTCACAAATCTCCATCAGGCCGGCAATCTTACATTGTTCCCAGTTGATTATAAACTGTGCTGAACTAAGTTAAGAGAAAAAATACTTTCATGTTTGCTCTCTAATATTGCACAATAAGCTTTCATCTCAAAAAACCTCAAAGAAAAATAAATAATAAATTGTTTACTTATGACTCACCCTGTGCATGACTCACCCTGACTGTACATGCCTCACCCTGTGCAGTGTGCCCCATACTAGATGGATTTCTAATATTGTAGGTTACTTGACCCTTGACTCTTAAGTGAAGTTTATAAAAAACTGGAGATGCTACAAAATTTTGCGAGTACCTGGTGTTCTGATTACCTGTAATGTATAATCCAGTATACCTATTATAACTGGTGACAGCAATTAGTATGTGGCTTTGTGAATCAGTTCAGGTTAACTGGAAGTCAAACTAATAGGGAGTTAAAAGGTTACATTTATTTCCCTTATTTAATGGAATGAACTGCTGTATGCATAAGCTATGTTGATGTTTTAATGAATAAAGAAAGAAGGAAGAGAAGCTAGGGGGTTTAGACTGAAAATTGACCAAGAGAACATTTAAAAACACTGATAGCCTGCAAACCATTAAGAGCTTGTTTCCAACATCTTCCATAGTGTATGCCTTGAATTCACATGTTATTTGGTTTATAAAGATTCACTTTGAGCTTTATTTTAAATGTCTTTATCCAACAGTACAAGTTTTTTCCTGAGAATGCATTGGAATCGTGCATAAAGTCCACCTTCCGTTATTGACTTTTGCATTATCATTCACAACCATTACATAAAACAGAGGGCCTATTGTGAATCCCATATATAAGAATGAGTGAATTGGATATATGATCATTGGTTGGGAATACGCTGCCCATCTGCATAAACTGCAACTTTAAAAAGGACAAAGCACCATCTTGCTTGTAACCATTCCAGTATTGTTGCATTTTGATTTGATTTCAGGTTGATCCAGCCATATCCTTCCAGGTCCTTCTCTCCCCTGAACAGACTTCCTGCCTTGAGTATCTCAAGCCTCACATCTGTTACTGGCAACATGGATCCCTCTCATTATGTGTTCCCTAATGATCAGCCGGTAGTGACATTGGATTGTGAAGTTGCCTTCAAAAACCTCACTCTGAAAGAGAAGCTCTATGCCCACTATTTGAGTCAAGCTTCCTGGTATGGAGGACTGATTGTCCTTGTGCAGGTAGGCCATGGCCAATACAATGTGTCCTCAAGAGTGCCTTAAACTGAGAAAGAATAATTCCAAAATGATACTGTCACACTTCCTTCACAGACTTCTCCTGAGAGCCCAGCCATTTTTGTCGTCCTTCACCGCATGTTTCGTGCTCAACCCTTGGATGAACTCAAGCAGCTAGCTCTTGGGAAATGCCAATTTACTGAAGAGGAATTCAAGGTAAATAAGCATTAAAGGAGGTTTCTGTGCATGGCCCATTTTATATGCAAAGTGCTTTGTAATATGATTTTTCTGACATCTAGATTTATGAGATTGTTTATTAATTTTTTTAATGTCATGCAGGGGCTCCTTGTTTACTCATCTGGATTGTACAACAACATGGGAAACTACAAGGGATTTGGAGACTCAAAGTTTGTACCAAAATGCCCTTCAGAAAAACTAGATGCTCTTGTCCGAAACAGCAAGGCTTTCTTAGATGACCCAGTTCAGATGGAGAAGCTCTGGAATGGCTGCAAGGAGTTGATTTATTCTCTGACTGACAGGCAGAAGCAACTTGGGTTACATGAAAAGGTACTTCACTTGCACTCAGATTAGCATTTAATTATTATTAATCACCATTGATGAAAGAGGGTTGACTTTTATTAGGGGATATCAACATACTTCTCTGATAACTGCTTGCCTGAAGATGCAGAGAAGATCCAAGCATTCCTCAAGCATAAAAGCCTTGATCCCTACAACACGCGTGCCTTTAAAAAGTTGGAGAATCACCAGACTGTATATGAGGTGAATATAGCCAGTCTCATACTTATGGATTTAACTATTGTTATGTGGCTTTTGTAGAATATTAGTTGGCTTCCTCTTACCATTCAGGTTCGACTAGCTTCTGTAGAAGGTGAGGGGAGTATCATGTATGAGGAAGATTTTCAAGGGAGCCATTTTATTGTGACACTGGGAGATTATTCTCCCCTCCTGGCCCTAGTTGTTGAGAATCTAAAGAAGGCTCAGGTAGGGAATCCTTCATTGCAGTGATTTTCTAAAATTGCAATATTAGTCTGGTGGATGATCTGAAAATATAACCCCATTTTAAAATTTGGATTTATTATTCCCATGTTGTAGGAGTATGCTGCAAATGCAACAGAGCAAAAGATGCTGGAGGAGTACATCAAGAGCTTCACCACAGGCTCTCTACCTGCCCATAAGGAAGGCTCAAGGTTCTGGATCAAGGACAAAGGGCCTGTTATTGAGATGTATGCTATTTTGATGCCTCAAAGCAAATGAAAATCTCACTGACACTGACTAATGGGCCTGTTTATTATCATGATTACATCTTTTGTTCATGTTTTGACAGGTATATTGGTTTCATAGAAACATATCGAGATCCAACTGGGATGCGAGGAGAATTTGAAGGTTTTGTGGCCATGGTGAATAAGGAGATGACCAAGAAGTTTTCTGACTTGGTGGCCAATGCAGAAGCATTCCTTCCTCTCCTCCCTTGGCCAAAGGAGTTTGAAATGGACAAGTTCCTAAAGCCTGACTTCACTTCCTTGGATGTGCTCACCTTTTCTGGGAGTGGCATTCCAGCTGGCATCAACATTCCCAACTGTAAGAATTATATGTTTTTGGCAAAAATGAGTTTCTGATGTGTTATATGATGACTGATGGAATTTGGATTCAGATGATGAAATCCGGCAGAATGAAGGCTTCAAAAATGTCTCACTGGGCAATGTGATTCCTGCTGCTTACAAGGACACAGAGATTCCATTCTTGTCCAAGAGTGATCAGAATCTGATGGAGAAGCATAGAGTGACAGCCTTTGAAGTTCAGGTTGGTCTCCATGAGCTGCTTGGGCATGGTAGTGGGAAGCTTTTCAAGAAGGATATGGAAGGGAAGCTGAATTTTAACATCGAGGAAGTTATGCACCCTGAGACAGGGGAGAAGGTATGTTGTCCATTCTCATTATTGTGTTGCACATCTTGATTCCAGCTTGAATATTAGAAGTGACTGTTACAGATAACAAGTTGGTATCAACCAGGAGAGACATATGACTCAGTGTTCACATCAATGGGATCAGCATACGAGGAGTGCCGGGCAGAATGTGTTGGGATGTACCTCTGCCTCAATAATGATGTCATGAAGTTAGTTCAACCATTGCTTATTATTTCCATTACTCTATAATTTTACAGATTTATGCCTATCTTCATGGCTATAGGTAACAACCACATTAGACCCTAATTTTTTTGCTATTGTTTTGTATCCCATGGCTATGCAAGAGCCATGATGACTTCTGCTGATATTTCCTCTTGCAGAATTCCCATATGAAGTATGAACAAATGAATATATTCAGTGGTTCTGGCCACATTCTCTTTTTCATATGCATATATGTTGGCTCTCTCACACCCTTTTTTGTTCGATGCCTCATTGAATTTACTTTTCTGTAGTGCCGATATTGAGAACTTATTACTTGAGACCCCCAGGCATCACACACCCCAGAAGAAGGATAGTCCATTCTACCTAATTTTTTCAAATTATTCCAGTACCCTTGTTTTTCTTTTGGGCATTGAGGTGTTTCATTTACTCCTGCAAAGCAAGCAGAATAGAGATAGTATACACAATAACTTTTCAGTTTTTGGTCCAGGTGTACCATCCCTGTAAGGTTCCCATTTGTTACTGTTGAGGAATGAGCACATCAGATTTATACATTGTTGCAATCACACAGAAAGGAAGGAGCAGGATAAGTTAAAGAAAAGAACACCAGACTGGAGGTACTTTTTTTATTTCTAAAGGCCTTCTAAATGTGTTGTTGCCAAATGCAGGGTAATTATTTAATTATGACACTTTCAAAAACTAATTTTAAAATCAATCATGAAACTTGGCATGATTACTGAGGAATGATGGGAGTCTTTTTTATAGGCACATTATGTGCTCAAGGTGTCCTCCCCTTTATAAAATTAGTGGCTAATCCAGGCAGTGTAATTTCTGTGGGTAAAATGCTTAATCCATTACATGTCACAGTTTGGTGCACAATGCCATCAAGTGTGATCCTTGGCCTAGTCTTGATTGACACAATTATGGACCAAAATGTTCACCTCTACATCCTCCATCCAGTTTCTTATTGGTCAAGACACAGATATGGAAAGATTTTGATTTCAGCAGGACAGCACAAGACCTCATCAACAACAGCAAATGTATTTTTGGAATTTCAGCACTAAAATTTTGGTCTGAGAGTCCTGTCTAACAGTTACCCCCAACTTCATGACAATGGTCTTGCATGGCCTCCTCTGTCACCTGACCTCAATCTGAGTGATTTCTTCCTATTGGGATAATCTTTCATTCTCAATAACAGGGTCTTCAAAGGGCATTGGAAGCTCTGAAATTAGTGGTTGAAAGTGAAACCTGCTCCATTTCTACCCTAAATGCTGGAGGCCACGATAAGAAATAACACTACCAGGATTCATCATGTAATTTAACAAAGGGGAGCATGACGTGTGTCTGTGAGAAAGAAAATTTCTGCAGTAATCACGCTAAACTTTATGAACATAAGTTAATCGATTGATTTTAAATTAAATTGTGAAAATGTGGCATAAAGAATCACCCTGTAGTAGGATCCCTACTGCTAAGTTGACTTCAGGTATGATTCATTTTCTTAGTTTCAAATTTTCAGATGTAATTTTCAGTACTGCCAATACATAGAGTTTGAGCTTCCATAGCATGTCTACCCCTGTTGTGACAGGCTAGCAGTCTTCAAGCACATACACACTTCAGAGGTGTTCATGCCTAGTTTTTGGAATTTTCCTGCAATGTGGCCAACCACTGAGTACCTGCCCTTAACAGGCCCATCACTGGGTGTTTTACCCTATATCTTGGAAGGAAGGGGGATTGCACCATTCTTGGAGTTCATATGTGAAAGGAGTAAGTTTTCAAGATTTATGGGGAAATGGTGATATTGAACTGAGGTAATTCTGTCTTAATGAACTGACAGCATGACATTTTTACACAAGGCAAGACAGGTTAACATGTTCGCTGCTGATGATGCACCTCATCGTTATCCTTTCCATAGAAGTGTGTCATCAGCAACGAATGTGTTAATGCCAAGAAAATGCTTTCAATGTGAAAGTCTTTTTTTTTTTCATCATTGAAATATGACATTTATGTAGTCAAGTAGTTAGTTACACCTCTGCCTTATTTCAGGATCTTTGGTCATGAAGGGGATGTTGGTGGAGAAGTGAAGTATGTGAATTGGCTAAGTGAAGTCTGGAGTGGGTTTGGCAAAGCCCTTGAAATGTATCAGCCTAAGACTAAAGCTTGGCTCCAGGTCAGCTTGCCCTAGTGTGGACATTTTAAATTTTCAATGGCATACTCTAATGTTGTTTCATCCTGCCACAGGCTCATTCCCAAGCGAGATATGTGATCCTCAGGGTGCTTCTGGAAGCAGGACAGGGCTTGCTCACCATCACACCATGTACTGGTAGTGATGGGGAACCCGACCTCTTGTTGACACTAGATCGCTCCAAGATTGACACTGTTGGCAAAAAAGCTTTGGGGGACTTCCTTCGCAAGCTTCAGGTTGTTTTTGTTTTTAATGGAAGTATTTATTTCTTTATGTGCAAGTTGGGAAAAGTGATCTTTTTGAAATAAGGTTTACAAATCTACTGCTGACATTGCTTCTGCAAGAGCAATGTTCAACAAGTACTCAGAAGTCCCTGATGATGGTCCATATCCATTTGGACAATGGATTAATATTGCATTGGCAAGGAAGAAGCCCCGAAAGATGTTTGTACAAGCCAACACCTTCATTCATGGTCAGTCATCTCTTCATGTAAGTGGCAGTAGCAAATGCAGTTTATTATTTAAATTTAATCTATATACTGCAGGTGATGATGTTCCACTGAAGACTTATGATGCCTCTCATGAAGGCCTTCTGCAGTCATGGGTTGACCGTTTCCCCACACTCAATATTGATGATATCCTTTCCAAACTGTGGGAGAAGGAGCAACTATACTTCCAAGGAAATGCATGTTGATTATTCATTTTATTTCAAGGAAGTATTCACATGGGAATAAAGATCACAGAATTTATAATTCACACTCAGATTTTCTTTACTTGTCCTTGCAAGTGTTTGAGAATGGTGAAGTCATTCCCTTGGCTCAAATCAATTTCCAATCGTGCAAAGCATCCACCAGCAGACTTCTTGGCCAACCTCTCTGGATTCAAAATGCAACAGCCATCAACTTCCTGTGAATGGTGAAAATAGATATTTAGTACATTCACTAAAAAGACAATGATTCCCATTAAATGAACACATGATCAGCAAATTTAGATGGTACAAGAAAAATATATCAATTTAATCATTTCCCTTTTTTCCTTGCAGTTTTGAATGTTTCAGCATTTTTCTCTAATGCATGCCCATGAACACAAATTAATAGAAATCTGTCTTTCATAATGGTCCATAAACTCAACCTGAAATGAGAAGTGCCCAGCAGTTAAGTTTCACATTTCAGTAGTCCACTTAATATATACCCATGAAGAAATTTGAGAACATTTAACTATGTACACACAAGATGGACCAAATTTCTCTTGCATTAATTAAGTTTCCTGAGAATCTTACTTCTGGTGATTATTCCCAGGATTTCTTTGCCATACTGTCAGTCACTTATCCTAACCTCAAATCATAAAACTCCCATTAACTTAAAGTCCTGGCAAAAATCTCACACAGCCCCAAGATTAAAATGTCTATTTCATAGCAATGTTCTATTTCTGTTTACACAGACAACTTCTGTAGTGCCCTGGGTCATTCTATCAATCCAGACTACCTAGAGAATTGAAATGAATGAAAAAAGTTCCACCTCTTCCCATTTCCCCTCCTCTTCAAGAAAAAAAAAAAATCTCCCTCTTTCCTGGATATTTTTTTCTGATTGAGACTTTCCCTCACTTTGCAGTCATTCCAGTATCATCCACCCTTCTTGGCAAGACATCATAATGGAAACTTAACAGGCTTTATGGCTTTGACATGACAGGTAGGACCAAGTCAGTGATTCCCATTCACATGTGTAAATGCCACTTAAGTGAAGGCATTTGCAGTACAACAGGATTATGGCTTTCTTTGCAAAGGTCAGATTTTCAATAACCTGTGAAAATTGCTCATTCTATTAAGTATGGATCAATAGTTGACGAAACATTATGAATGTGCAATGGGGCATTGTTCATCTTGGACCATTGGCCTCGAGTAGGAAGAAAATCAAAAGTAGCAACAAACTGATGAAAAGATACCAAATCTATTGTTTATTGCAAGGGGAGGAAGTATAGAAGTATCTGCCATTTTGTGCAATTTTAGCCATTCATTCATTCAATGGGCTTTTATTTGCCCAACTTCAATGAATCATTAACATGATGATGATGGCATAAATACATCACCAATATCAATGACCATGACATGAATTCATGTGACACTTCATGATGTGTATCTTGATCCACTGCATTGGCAGTTGCAATGCTATTAATAGTAAAGTTGCAAAATCCAGGAGTGCAAAGATATGCTCAATACTCTGAGAGGAAGGTATGGATGTTGAATCCATGAACCATCCTGATGTTACGAACAGGTGCACACCAGTGTCCACAGCAAAACCATAGAACTGACCATCATATCACTAATATAAGCAGTTGAAACAAGGTCCTTACATCAGGCAGCCAAAGTAACTTGCTGAGAAAGGATGCAGAGAGCTCAATTTTGAATAATGTCCATTACCCCAAATTTAGAAATCTCTGGTCCCATAGTATTTTTTTCCCTTCACCCAGCTTAACTTGTGAGCAATTTGCTTCATCAGCCCTTACAAAGCTTACACATAACACCACCCCTTCATCACATTTTATCAGTCTGAATTAGATTCCAAGCACTTTTGTAGTTTTTGACAAGTGCCTTTCACTGTTTCTATTTATACAATGATTTTGTTAAAAACCTTGTATCTCAAAGCATGCTTGAACTGTTCATCTCTTCCTCAAAGGTTGATGCAAGACAGAAGAGATCTGATACAAAATTCTGCAATTTTTCATACAACACTAAATTAAGCAGGTATTCATCTTGCCATTTTGGGACCCAGGTGTTGCATCAATTATATAAATTACCATATTGGTCCAACACACTAGAGGGTAATGTATGGTCTCATCAATGACATGCATAATTATTCTCATTTCTCCTTTGTGATGAAGGTGTTTAAACTTTGATGCATTCTATCATTACATAGGGATCAAGGAAATTCCCATATTATACATCACATACAATTAGTGTCTATTTGAGACCAATATATTCATGATGTACATAATCTCACCTTGATGAAGCCTTTCAGCTGTGATGGGAGGACCAATAAATGAGGTCTCACATGAAGGCCACCATACATACGTAGCTGATCCAGCTCCAAGTTCACCTCCTCCGAGGGGGGAAAGAGGGGATAGAAGTTTTGTTGGAGGAGGAGATGCCGAGCGAGTCGTGATAGACGATCTGATGACATCCCACTAAAATCAATGAAAATGTATTTCAATAGTGAGGAAACGCAATGCCACAAAAATTGGGGTTAACATGGATAGGATACATACTTCACAACCTCCTCTTTTCCAAGATGAAAGAGGACATCTATGCTTGTCACACCCATGATGAATCCATTGATATCAAGCATGCATGGGTCACTGAAGATGTGGACATTCTTGGGCAGTGGAAACTTCAGGGAGTATGGAGGAGTGGGAAAGATGGGATGGTGGTGCACATCCATGCTTGATGCAATGATTGCCAGCTCTATATCAAGTCTAAGATTTATAAGAAGCAAAAAATAAGAGCCAAAATCAGGAAATGGGATGTGAGACTTTGAACGCAACACACTCTGATGTTGTCTGTATGATGGCTTCAACAAAGCGGGTAAAGATGACTTCATAGGGCTCTTTGAGGTTCCCTTTTACCACTAATGCATTCTGGGCATCAAGAAATGGTCCAAGAAGGAACAGGATGTGAGGTTTTGCTTCTCTCAAGTAATTGACTAAATCCTGCCAGGGTTCATTGAGAAGGTTCTCCTCCACAGAGAATGGACCAGCAGCTATGACTACTTCTAACAATCCTGAAAAAAAAAAAGGTTGGCCACTCATAAGAGAAGACACATCCAGACCTCATCTTCCATTTTAAAATTGGTCCTCATACATTTTGAAAAAAAAAAAACCTGAAAAACATGACTCAACCCAAAGAACTCAATCATAGCACATTTGCCTTCACATCCTCCTATGTTTCATTCATTTTTGCTTGTAAGGCTGAACTTGTACAACCTTATTTTCTCCCAGCTACAAAAATACGCTAACCTTTTCATCATTGGAACAACTTAAAGGAAATATTCCCCAGTGTACATGATAGGACTTTGAACCGCTTGCAAACCTCAAAGTCTAGTCTGGACAAGGCTAAATGGTTTGAATGAATTGGAGGTAGAGAAGAATGGCAGGATGTGCTGTAATAAGTTAGACGTGTGAGAGAGTAACTATAGAGAAAGAGGCCGTGGCCAGGCAGACAAGTAAGGAAAGTGAGAGTCATCAAGTGAACATTGACCTTGGCAAGGAGCCAAGGGAAGGCCCAGGAGCATAAGAGAAAGCCACTCATGCAGGTAAAGCTTTCTTCTCATGGCCTTGAATTCCCTCCCTGCCATCTTTCTCCCTCCTTGTAGGCCTATTTTTTTCCTGCCATCTCTGGCTTCCCTTGGTTCCATGGCCTCATTCATCTTGGTGGACTCAATCAACTGCACCACATAATGCTACAACTCTCACACTCATCAGAGCAAGCAAAGTGGAAACCATTGTGCTCACCGGGTCCATGAACTTCTGTCTGTGGCAATGGAGGGAGTACTCCAAGTTGTATTTCCTTAGCAATTACTCTTACTCCGGTTGGATTGGTTCCCTTGACAGCCACAGACTGGCCTGGGAATAACGAGTATTCGTTCAATTCAGATACATCCAAGGGTATGCCCAGTCCATCAATGCCGTCTTCCAGCACAAGAGATTCCTTATTCAGCTTCCCATCCATGTCAGAACGAATCTTGCCAGCCATCCAAGCCTCTTCCTGAAGAGAAGTTACTATTCAAACCTAGGGAATCTTTGCACAACTTTCTCGTTGTGATCATACCAAACTCACATCTCTATTGAGGTGAATGTTGTGGAAACCATCCACATGAAGATGGTCTTGCAAAGCCTTCACCATTGCATCAAGACGGCATTCTAGTTCGATAGCTTTGTCGGCAGCGCTCTGTCGCATGTACATGAATCTGTATAATACACGGAAATTCATTATCGAGTGAATCTGACATAACCATCTCTCAATCCAGGATTCGAATGATAAACCTACGGCTCCTTCAAAGCTTCTTCATCCGAGAATAACTTAATGGTGAAGGAAACGCCATCCGTGCGCTTCCATTCTTGCACAGACTCATCTCCAAATACTGCGATGACGTCTCCGGCATTGGAACGCGAAGAGTACTTCTGTGATGGATTTCTATAAAGGGGAAACACGCTTGTGAACCCAATTACGGATGAAAGGCATTTTCCACGGAGAATACGCAGGGCCTCACATGACAGGGGAAAATGAAGCCGGGGAAAACGGCAGGGGAGCCAAGAACTGGAACTTCTTTCTCCTTTGATCCGGTGAGAACTGTCCTTTCGGTCTCTGATAGGGGGAAAACAATAGCGAAAATTCCATGAGTTCTGCCAGGTCATCAACCTTTCATTATCACAACCATATGAAGCCCATTAACTTCCACTTTGGCTTCTCCAAACATTGAATTTTTCCCCCTCGGTGAAAATGAGACGGGAGACCGGGTACGAGCACCCCCCTCCTGTTGGTGCAATGATGCAAGGAAGGCATTCCTTCCCTGAGGGTTGGAAAGAGGAGGGCAGGAGAGTGATTCAGAGCCACCCTGCCATCAATCCCCCCTCTCTCTCTCCCCCTCCCAATCTGTACATTTATTTCCCAGAAAACTGGTCTGGCAACGACCAGTAGAAGCAAGCAGGATGGGGGGAGGGGAGGCCCCCTAAGCCCCTATACCCTCACGCAACCACCACCACCATCCCTTTGTTCTCAAGGCGCCCGGCCGGGAGATGAGGGATCTCGCCCGAGGACTTGCACTCGCACTCTCCCACTCACGCACGCACGCACGCACGCACAATTCTTTTTACCCGTACTCATCTCATCTCCCTACCCTTTCTTGCAGTTCACCCTGAGAGCAAACGGGCAGGGAAACGGCTGGGAACTTCGGTTAGATGAGTGTGGATCTAGTCATGAGCCCGGCAACCGACATGACCTAGAAAACACCCACCTGACCGAAAAAGCTCTCACTCTCCTCGAGTTCTTCCCTTCAAGGTCAGTGGCACGGGGAGGAGAGGGAAGACGCGGTTTTGCTCCCTCGCTCTTCGACTGATGATACCTCGGAGCAGTTGATGAGTGTGGATCTAGTCATGGTTTCTCAATGAATCACATGCACCAAACACACACCCATGCACTGCCATCGAGGAATGACGTCTCCCTCTCTCCTCTAGCTATCCTTTCCTTGACGAGATTCGTCCATGGTTCACTTCTTCATTCATGATCACGCACAATCACTGACGCTTCGATGCGACGTCTGACTGAGCGACGTAGCCTACAGTATCCAACAATCTTCGAAAGCACCTTACATCTAGATAGTCACCATGAATCAGCATACAAAACCAAACGCGTTCGTAAAAGGCGGTAACGCGCTGATACGGTGATACGACACACCCACATGAAGCCAATGCAACGGAAACTGTTGTAATGACAAACAATGCATCGCAAGGTACATCCACGACGATATCCATTTTACCCGGCAGAATTCTCATTCAATTTGCCGTGCGCAGACTGATCAGACGGCACCATCTCAACAAGATTCTCGGCAATTTTTCCCTTCAGAAATAGCCAGCATACAACCTAAGGCAACCCTCGTTCCTAAAGTCATAGCATCCCAGCTGAAATCACATTCACTGACAAATTAGCCTGCCGCGCCAGAGTCGGGGTCGACGAAAAACACGCCGAAAGATCGAGAGTGCGTGCTTACCGGCTAGCAACGTTGTTCCGCGAAGACCGAAACGCCGATCCATAACGACGATAGGCATGGAGGGAATCGCAAGGAGGAGTGCGGGAAAGCGAGAGGCACTCCACTCAACACGAACACGTCTAGAGGCCGGACACAGTCGAGTGACCATGAGAAGGGACAAGCACCTCTGGCTCTGAGCTTGGGGAAGGAACCGACTGAGGGAGACCCCTCTACCTTTCCAACGGACACGAAGCTCCCCTGAAATTTGAATCTGCGTCAGCAAGGCCTCGGGGCATATACTCTTTTCTTCTCTCTCTCCCCCCCCCCCCCCTTCTCTCTCTCCCTCCCTCCCTTTCTATACCGGGCCAAGCCGCGCGGGGTGAATGCGAGTGAGAGAAGCCGGCTTTCTTGGGGAGGGTGGGTTATAAAATCCAGATGGGGGAATGCAGAATGGAACTAGTTTTACTCGCCTCACCCTCTCCCTCACATCGCATTCGACGTATTCAGGGGCATGCGATACACGAATCTATCGTCTGGTTCTCACTGACTTGGTCCAGGAGAGCTAAAAAAAAAAACGAAAGGACAGAGGGGGGAGAGAGAGAGCTCATGGCTGGTCATATCCAGGGCTTCGTCCTTGAAACGTGGCCCACGGGGCTTTTTTCCTTCCCATTCTCTCCCTCTCGTCCCCCTCTCTTTCAAGGTAGATTCCAATCATTTTTTTCTGTTTCGTACTGACACTGTAATTACGCCCCCGAAAAAGAGGCACCCACTAAACGGACGAGCTTTCCGGTGGAAAGGAAGCTCGGTAGGCATCAGAGGTCAGAGAGTCGCTCACCCGGAACGGAAGAGCATACACCTGTCCCCAGATGGGGGACAGAGATTAATAATAAAAAGTTCAATTAAAGAGGATGGAACGATGTGAAAACAACCTGGAGATTCCAGGCCAAGTGGGGCGGCAGGGAAGAGGGGGGACCGAGCCTGAGAAAACCCGACTAGTTCCCCCTACCCCCTCATGCGGGTATATCCAACGGCCTCTCATTCCCTTCCCCCTCTTTCGCACAACTAAATTACTACAGCATACCCTCTCAACCACCCGACAATATTTCTTTTCCGGGCTATTCAGACCTGCCCTCCTCCTGAGGTGTGTCACACAAACGGAAGAAACCGATCCAAGATGCCCCACCCTGGCATGGCAACAAAACACATCGTTACCACCTGTTGTGCGTCCAGCCTCGCAGCCCCTCGCGAAAAAAGTTCCCCTCTGCCTCAATAGGATAAGGTAGGCATCAACCGTAAAAAAAAAAAACTGTTGAAAAAAAATTTGAATTGAAAAGCACGGGCCCTACTAGTCCAGGGGTGAGAAAGCAATGTGTCACATCGGCAGAGGGCTATTTATCATCGAGGAAGAGAGAACAGACGGTGGACGAAAGACAGAATGAATGAACGGAAGGAAGGGGAGATGTAAGGGTCATTGCGGCCCCGGTGAGAGTGGAAGGGACTCGTGAGAAATTCCCAGACATTCCCTCTACATCTACTCCCCTCAATCTTCAATGATGCATTCGAAGCACTTCACCCCCCCGCCCCCACCCACACATCCATTAAGTTACCCTCTCGTCAACAACATCAGTTCCCTGGCATTATAAACATTGTGCTCTCCATTTTACGACAGAACATGGAACACGCGAATGCAAGCTGCCACGAGACTAATGAGAAGCCGGAAAAATGGAGCAGTTTTTCCTTTGCTTTCCACAGGTATCTGTCGAACGTTGACTCGCGGGAGGAAGACATGGAAGTTCTTGCCCTCAGCGCTCCTCTCCTTCTCTCCCTCTTTTCTCGTTCTCTTCGGCAATTATGGAGAAATTATCCCTCGGAGCGTAGAAATGTCATCGGGCCCAGCCAGCCCTCACATACCTGAGAGATTGGCGAGCAAAGGCCAACCCCCGTCACGACTTGCCTTCCTCTTCTCCCCCCTCCCCACCGTAATTAAAACTTATCGCTGTTGTGAAGAGTTAAGCTATCGAGTTGAACACCGCTCATGACCTTCCGATGAAAAGTTAATGGTTATCCTTTGAACACAAAATTGGAAGCTGGGTTTTACTTACTGCGAATCTACGATTCCGACCAGAAGGCCTCATCCAACTGGATGAATTTGAAGAGAAAAAAGAATTACGGGGCGAAACCGGCAATAACAAATGAAATTCCTTCGATTCACGCGAATGTTCAGGGGATTGAAGGGCTCTACGCCCAGCAGAGCCCATTCCCCCCATGGCGACTCCGTGTCCAGTGAATGCGGCCGGGCAGGAGAGAAGAGGAATAGAGGAAGGTCTTTGCTCTTCTTCAAGGCCAAGCTGCCATGCCAGCCAACCCAAGCCAACCACTGTCAAGTGAAGTCAAGGCCCTCTTCTCTCTCTTCTCTCTCTTCTCTCTCTTCTCTCTCTCTTTCGCTCTCACTCACTCACTCTCTTCTAGACTCTCCACAACTATTATACATACATGAAAAACGGGAAAGATGAGGGAGGCCGCACCTTAGAGGAACGCGGGGTGCCATAGGTGTTCAGCAAGTCCTCTTCTTCCGCCTCCTCTTTCTCTTCATTCGCAAGTTTCCTCTGGTAACTGGAAGCTGAGTCAAGGAGGCATCAGTAATGGTCCAAAGACTAGGGGAAATAATACTGTTTATGGTCAAGCAGTGGAAACGCGTGGTGGTGTTGGCCGCAATGGGGAATACTTTACCAGGAACTGCAGGCCCGCTCCCACAAACAACACGCGCACGAAACTACACCCACACTCACCCTGACTGCCCATATTTCTTCTTTCCCCTTTCTGCTTCCTCCCTTCCTTTCCCCTAGGAAGCTCTGACGAATGCCTTGCAAACGAACCCCCCCCTCCTCCTCCCCGGGATTATGAAGACTTGTAAGTTGAAAGCACGCATGGAGGACGTTGACGCTCAGATGAATTTTATGGATGCCTGCCGGCAATGACGCTGCGGATACCACAGAATGACGTCTGTCGTGGTTTGGCGTCCGACCCCGCAGCAAAAAGCTCTCAAAGATCGGTGAACTATCCCTCCTCAACAGTACATTCTCCTTGACCTCATGACCGTGAAAGTGGGCACACCCAGAACGTTCATAAATGATTCAGTTCCACGGAGCTCCTTATTCATAATCATGCTATGATGCAAAGAAAACCTGCTCGAAAGGAGCACTTGAACTGCTCCATGCGAAAGGAAGTACTCCAAATGCAACAGATGGTCTTGCCTTCACATTTATCAGGGGATAACAATAATAGCTCCATCAAGGAGCAAAAAGAGAGCAACTCCACAATATATTTAGTAACCCTAACTTAGTATAATTTCTATAAAACATTCGAGTGAGTATCCGCATACGATGCTCAGAGTCGGCCTTAGGCATGTGCCACATGTGCCTCGCACAGGGACACATTCACCAGGGGCGCCGAAACGAGACTGAATGTATGAAGTAATAATGGATGCCACCTCAAGTTTTACTCCAGAAAGTGGAAATGCCTTCAGTTTCGGCGTCATTTTAGACGCTAGGGACCCTTCTCCTTGCTGGGGTGGAAGGGAGGCGGCGTTGGGAGTCACTGCAAAGGGCGGCGAAATAGCTAGGCCAGCCTTGCTAATGCTTATCATGACATGTGAGGAGTTGAAATAGGTAGAGTACTGCCCTGATAGACAGGGTTCGATCTGAGGCTTCTAAGGTTTCCAATCTCAGTAAAGCGCACGATCGACGGAATTCATTGGATGGCATCATCAGTGATCGTTGAGTGAAGGCGCTGGAATGCACTACATTTGAACTTTCCGTGAGTGACAAAATAAAATCAATCTCGCTACATCAGTGAAAAAGATTTACAGCACCCAAGTTGAAGTGAAAATAGGCATATTGATGCATACGATGCACTTCTTTGTGCAAAATGCAACCAATTCATCCAACTAATTCGGGGTTTTGAGTCATTCGATTGAGCGACGATCGTGCATGATACAGGCTGCGGCCAATCAGCGCGGTCGGATCGCAAACGGAATGGGAACGCTGGTTCGTTGCCATAATAGGACGTGACTTTCGGGGATCTCGCGGTTTCCTGCGAAAAATGAAACTTTCAGAGATCTGCAAACTCCCATGGAGATGCGTGGGTAAGAGGCAGAATGGTGGTTACACTGAGATCGCCTATGGCTACCAGTCTCTTTACTTCCCATACGAACCCTTCTGTGGTATCCCTTCTCCTACTCCATCAAAGGCCACGGAGAAGAAAAACGAAAATGCTTTGCGAAACTCGTACAATGGCGTAGGCCCTCGTGTACTAAGAATAGAATTTAAAAAAATGAAAGATTTTGATAGCAAAATATGGTCTATCTATCCAACTAAATTTATGGCGTGCATCAGCCGACCGAGTGAAACTTTCATGTCAAATAGAAAATTATTTCAAGACATGTTGCACTCAAATTCCAAATTATTATGATGTAAAAAAAAATGAAATAGCAAAAAACAGGAGTCTACTTCTTTTCAAAGCATATTCACATCACTTTTAAATGATGTAATGAATGGGTGAGCAGTGATTTTCAATAGTTGATAATTTTTTAGAAATGTCCCCATAAATAAGGAGATATCATAACATCCACCCGACTTCACATTCACAAGCTGCATTGTATTGGCGCTATTACTGTATTAAATTACATTAAAGGTGATAAACATGCCAAAGGTGACACAAAGGCAAATGGACAAACAAATGTGAAACCAATTCTCAACTTCCACAGACTTCTTCCCAAGACTTGAGAAATGAAATGCACACATGAATATGCACCAGATGAGTAATACATATTCCTAATCGTGAATCAATTCCATCCAATCATCTTACAAAAGAGGCTTATGTCACTGAATATAATGAACCCCGTGCGTAACAAAGGAATGAACGATGGCACCTTTCCCTCAGCCTTGGTAAGGTCACTATGCAGGATTTCATATTCACCTCTATCTTTAAAAATTAAAATAAATGCTAAAGTACAAGCAGCACTTTGGGTTGCTAAACACCATTTACTCTGTGGTATGGATGAATTTTCTGTGTAATGTTTATAAAATAGTTATTGCTCATCAAAGGCAGCATTATGAGTGTCCCAAAAAAATTAGACTCTCTTTGGGAAGAAAAAGTATACCATGCATTCAGGGTAGTTATCTGTTGTAACACTGCAGAACATGGGGAAATGAATGTTTGAATGAATGCAAATACTTCAAAATTACTCAAGAAAAACTATTGACTTCTGCATACAACTATGCAAAATGGATGAATACTTTATAATGCCAAGCATGCAGGAGAAAATTTGCTTTTTTTTCACTCTCCACAACACTTCGGAATGCTTTTACAAGCTCCTTCCTGGAATTGTTAGAAAATTTTTTACCAGACCTATGCTTACATCCAACCATGAGAAACTCTAAACAGTTCCCAGGATATAGTAGTAGCAAAAAACTATCCTTTCTCATTGTATTGTTGAAAATGACCACTATGCCAGATCACCTAAAGATTTGGCATGCAAATTAAAGCATGTTCAATGTTTCCAACTTTAAATCATCTTCTGTAGAGTACTCATCAATGGGTTGCATAGTATCACAATCATACTTACAACAACTAAAATAGGTTCAAGTTATTTTTTTGCTGAGGTGGCTGACATGATACTATATCCCCTAACCCAGATCCCAGAGAGTTCAGAGGGAAGAAGCTGACAACTCTCAACAAAATGGCTTTCCCTTGAATGAATTCTTCAGGAAGATTTGCAGCTCTTCACCTCATTTTCACCAGGCCAATGATTGAGACACAGTTTTTAAGTAGTAGGAATACACACAAGTATTTACCTCAATTCATCCAACATGAAAATTTTTAGTGGAATACAAATCCTAGTCAGCTCTCAATAAAATTTTGCTAAGAAAAATTGAAAGAAAGCAAACTGATTGAAACATTCTATCTGATTCATCAAATGAATGCCATACCCTCATAAACTTAAGTTCACTCTTGTATGTGAGTTGGTGAACCAGATATAACCCTTCATGGATCTGCCATATTATTACCTACTTAAAAAAAAAGTACAAATGATTATGAATCAGGGGATCATATATTCAGTCACAGTATATCTCCAAGAATGAAGAATTGAGGGATTCCTAGGTATTGCAAACAAATTTGAAAATGGATTAATGGATCAGTAGAACTAAAATTCGGTTGAAATAAAAAATTCACACCATGGAAAGTCATGCATCAGCATAAACAAGAACATGAGCGGTAAGTGTTGAACAAAAAAAAGACAATTCAGTATGATGATTTCTTGAGTAGGGGCTACTAATGTTTAAGTGACAAGGACTACTATTGCACCCCTACACTAGGCAATGACCCACACTGGAAGTGGAAATATATAAAGCAAAGCAAGCATTGTTTCAATTCCTGTATCACAGATGAGGGAATCCTATCTTTGTCCTTGTGGGTGTGCTTTCCTTTTATGCATCAGAAATATAAATTTTCAAATGAGAAAATACAGACTTGAAGTCAGTGGCTTATGCTGAGTTAGGCTCACAAGGCAGATTTGAAGATTTAAAGGCAAGATTTGAAACTAACCAGACCAGGCATTTTCTTCCATGTGGTGGCAGAAGCCCCAGTGTGTTTGAGAGGGGAAATCCCTTACCATGTACCACATTAGCCTTTAGCTAGAGGACATTAAAAGAACACTGGTGGCCAAGGTTAAAAAAAAGGGTAGCATATCTCAAGATCACTTGGGCAAAATCAAATAGATGCTCTGTCCCAAAACGTAATATGCAAAAGGGCAAGATACGGCACTTAATTTAAAGCACTTATCTGGTCATAGAGAATCCTGGCCCGGAACAACATGATATATCCCAGTGCATACAGTATTCCAAGAATTAGAGCCAGCATCTTGTTATGATCATTAAAAGTAAACATGTTGAATGTGTGCCTCATGAGAAAACCATCAAGGGAAAAAAATAATTCCAAAGAATGAAGAGGGGCTAAGATGTTCTATTCCTGTCCTCCCAATATGATCTAATTCCTGATAAGTTACATCATTGGTTCAATACAGGTTTACAATTACCCAGTTTACACACATTAATAAAGGATACACAGACAGGATATCATCCACTTGTGGGGATGCATGCTTGGAGTTAACATTTGCCTTCTTCTGCTGTTCAGAGGTTAATGCCTCTTCCAAAACTCTAAGGTTTGAAACAGTAGGTTCAACTCCTCCCAACTTGCTGATGGACACATTCACCCAGTGGGCAACAACATCCTCTTCTGAGAGTTTATATATCTTGCAAAGTTCAGCACCTGAAAAGAACACCAACCTATTACGTCATTTCAATTTTCAATGTGTCATAAAGTGTCAGAAAAATGTACCCGCATTTTTTAGTCTGGCACCGAGATTCATAGGTGTTCATTCTAAGGATACCTTAGCACTTAGGCTAAGGAAATTAATTTACGAGCACTGACTTGTAGATATAAAAGTGTTTTTACTGTACATATACATATATAAATACCCAAGTAAGTATAAATTAACCCGGGAAATAAAAACGGGTTATTCCTCTGTCGGAACGGATGGAGATGGGCTAAACTTAGTCCAATGCCATACGACAAACCAGCATTTGCGGCAGACGGAATACCCCTTTCGCTCCTGTAAAGCATAGACTAAACCTAAAAAACGTGATGCAAGTAGGACGAGGATTCTCGCCTCCCTTTGACAGCCACGGGAAAACTCGAGGTGGGGGAGCGACGGTGAACGGACAAGGGCAAAAGCGCGTCCATGACGGCGCCCCCTCCCCCCTCTCACAGCACACACGCACGCCGTGCTGCGTTCTCTCTCTAATTCAAGTTATGACCGACAGATGCCACGTGAGTATGGTGTAGCTCTGGAGGATGCACGTTAGAGACCAATTGGGCGTTCAACCTGACCGCTCCCGAGGGAGAGCAGCCGAATGTGCGTATACGTTTGACGGAAGTACTTTGTTCCTAAATCGATATGATAAAAAAAACTAATACCACTGAGGGGATAACTCCAGCCAGTTCTTTTGGGGTCCCGCCCGAATTATCTCATGTTGGCCTCATGATGAAGGACGGAAAAAACTTGGGATGACTTTGCTGACTAATCCAAAATACTCGGACCCCAAAGGGTTAAGAGAATTTCGAGAATAGCAGGAAGACCCGGGAAGTTTTAGACGTAGCTTCTCACAGTTGAATACGAGATTCATTTGATGTCGGGAATGCTGAGAATTACAGCACACTTTTTCGGATTCCTTCGACGGAGTGTAGAAAGCCATGAAGTTCATAGGGAGACAATCGGGATTGTCCTTTATATCTTAAAGAATGTTTCTTTGCTCTAAACTCTAAATTATCAGAAGCAGAGTTATTTACGATGGCAGTACGGCAGCTACCTACGAAGTGGCACAGGTCCCGAGAATAGCATAGAGCCAAGGCATCAAAAAGAGAAAATACTCTTGCATCGGAGCTCAGCTCAAGTCACGTGTTATAAGCTTGCTAGAAAATAAAAAGCGCGCACTATGTTGAAACCCCGCATCTTCTTTCAAATCTTTTCCCATGACATTCCTCAATACCAAGGGCAAAACTGAAGTTTCAACGGTCGTAATTTCGAAGATGATCCGAGAAGACATCGAATTTACAACCGTGGAAACTGGAAGGAGAGCAACAAATTTCTCCTTTTCAGACGAAAAACCAATGAACGAGAAAAGTTGCGTTTGCACCAAGGAGCCGAGGGTTTCACATCTCTTGCGCAAGGACGAATACACCAGTAAAAAAAAAAAAGAAAAAAAGTGAGACGTCGAGAAGCGACCGGGACGGTTCATTCGTCTTTCCTTCATCGCCCGGTTCAGACACCTGCAAGGCTAGATTTGTTTTGTAAACTGGCTAAAAGTAGAAGAGAGATCTCCAACGATATGGAACTCGCCGAAATCGCAGCAAGGAATTCCGAGGAAGGAAAGAGAAAGAGCTTTAAACATTCAAGATGCTCGGGGGGTTGCACGACTTTTTTTTTTTTTTTTTTTTTTAGGGGATAGGCACATGAAGGGTAGTGCAAAATACCTTTTTTTAATATTATAAATACCCTGATCGCCTATGGATTGCCTTCATATGGGAATGCCCTTGCCATATGTAAAAGCAAGTTAAAAAGATACAACATATTAAAATTATACTGTCATTTTTTGCATTTAGACATTTAGAACGTCAATTATGTGCGGCAGCCTCAAAGAGGGGGGGAGGTAAATATTATGCAACACCATGTACATATTTATTTCTCAATATGAAACAAGGATCAATTCTTGCTCTCCAGCATAACCGTTCTCAAAAGTATATTCAATTCATAACCCATAACTTTATGCAAATTTCATTACTACAGTGAACATTCATGCCACACATTATAGATAGTACAATCTGTCAACACAAAATTCTGCATGTGCTGTGCACATCTCTCCATACATGGAGTTACTTTTCATCAGCACAACAGACATCAAATAAATATTGAAGGGCTACTGAAGTATCCTCCAGAATATGCAGCATGAAAGACAATCCAGAAATAAAAAATTCAATCTTCTCTAGTTGCTTTTCCCCTTGACAGTTTTCTAAAACTATCCTCAGATTACCAAATACAAGATCCCAGTTCCCAGCAATATGTTCAAATATAATGGAGAAGAAAGTCTAAAACTGACAAGAGAAGGTCCTCAGAAGTATTCATACAAATATGGACATATGTCATGTAGTTGGTATAAAAAAGAATTTCCTATTCTATTTCCAATAGTCTATTAATAGTTAATTTCAAATAGTCCATTCCAAATTATTTTCGTAATTGGGTATCTCAAGAATACTCAAAATGCAAGACATCAAATAGGCTCAACTCAAAGTTCCAATTGTACACTCTCACTTAATTATTATTTGTTATACCAATATAAAACCAGTTATACCAGTATGGAATCACCAACAAGGGCAGAAACAGGGCTTCATAAAAAACAAATGATGCCAGTAGACAAAAAGACAGTAGACCTAGGCTCCCTCTTCAATGCGCAGATTACTTGACAGTATAGTTATGATTAGTAGAGCTGTGCATTCATCTGTCTTTCCTCCCTTTTTGAAACCTGTCATTGAAGACTGCTCCTTTGCTCCATTTGAAATTTTTTTTCTTTATGAAAATTCTTGCCAAATAATTTATGGGGTTTCACAGATGATAGAATTACTTGGTCTATGTCACATGCTTTTTTATACAGATTGAATCTGAAACACAACTTACACTTTGATGCCACTTCATCATTAACTGCAATGCCAACTGCTTCAAACTCAGAAATCACACTCTCTTCCATTGTCTTCCTCAAAGATTTGTGTCTGACAAGCCTTGCCCAATGCAAGTAAGCTAACTGCAATTGGTCTTGGCTGTGGATGTATACATAAACAACACCTACAAAAGAACCAAGGGATCAAAGGAAAATTATCAAGTGGAATAAAGCAATTTCTGAAAAGCTTTAAAGGAAATTAGAATGTTTCTTTTGATTCTTATGATATAGAACTCTTTCAGTAGACAGGCATTGACAGATAAAGGATCAACACCACATCTACAACCTCAGAAAAGAAAATGTCAAAACAAATTTTCATAAAACTGACTCAACAACAAAATACTGAATCAATTGGTATAGTCCAGATGTATATACATATACATATAAAATATACAATCAATGGTTCTGGTATTAAGGTAATCTTTACTTCATACAGCAGGCGCAAGTATCAACACTAATGCTTGATCATGTTACGAGTGCCTAAAATGAAATATCACTCATAAACTTTTACATTTTCTTGGCTGAGACACCTACACTGGTCACCAGACTTCTGTCTCCTGTGCCTACAATATTTATTTTCTGCTTACTCAAACATGCTCCCCCACTATTATAACTAAAGTTTCTCAATTAACTTCAGTCCTGTAGCCTTTGTGAATGTTCATCTAGATATATCCAGATTATTCCTAGAACTATCTCAGACTTCAGAAAATAGTTTACCCTTATTGAGAAAGGGCCGACAACATTCTCTCCTTAGACTGTAACATTTGGTCACTCTAGTTTGCCTGAATAATTGCCCATACAATGGTAGGCAGGTATTCAGAATAACATCAGGAAAATGGTATTGAAAGCTTTGAAAGTCATGCAACAATTTTCAACAGTATGGAATCTATGAAGTAAAAGCATTTCTTTATTGCAAGAATAAACAGAAGTGTCATGTCTTGAAACACTTGTTTCCATTTCTGGCCAACATTAAAAGCAGTGATGACATTCTACTCCAAAGGGAGGCATGGTTAGGGCAAAGACATCACATAGGATACATTTTGTGCTCTATTTTGTGGCTTACTCCTACTTAGATTCAAACAGATGGAATATGTATTTATTTCATAATCAATCAGTCTAAAATTGGATCCAGAGTATATGGAGGCAGAGTGAAATCTTATTCTGAAAAGTGCAATCAAGAGAAACTGAATAAATGTAAGAAATTCCTGTAACACGTAGAGCTTAATATTAACATAGATTAGAGCCAAGCAAAATGCACACAGATGTAATGATCAATGAATGAGTTTCCTGTACTTGGGTGGCTTATTATTGGGGAAGGGAGGAACCAATTAATGAATAGGTCCCAATGAACAGAAAGATTCAGGCATGTTCTTGTTGAAGTTGCATTCTACTTCCAAGGCTATGAAGATGAAATGAAATGAGCACTAGATGAAAATCCACTTATTAATACATAGACCAACATAGATGAGTTAAAAAAAAAAATTTTTTTTAATATTATACCTTAAGTTATAATCTCTAACCTTTCTTTCTCTCTGAAGCTAGGCCTACGCCTATTGTCAAGGCTCAGCTAGAGTAACCAAAGACCACACAATGGACAAAGCTGACGAGGGAGAAACTTGATGTAATCAGTTTCCTGTTCGTAGGAGCTCTTCATGCTCGCACTAACACGCTTGCTTCGGTTGATCCATCCCTTTCCCAGCTTCCCGCCAAAGACGACAAATGCAGACCTTGAGTGGCGGCTATCGTTGGCGCCAGGCTGCTCCGCTGCTTTACGCGCAGCTAGACCCAAGGATCTGAGCTGGATTTACACGCAACGACATCTGTATATGAAAAAAAAAGCTTAATTTCACAGAGAGCCCTATAGAACGCGAGGGCACCAGCGTGGCCAATGGCTGTCGTGCCGAATATCATGCCGCTGTCGAAACACAGCAGCGCCATGAAGGCAGATCAGTGCCAGCAGTGGATCTGAATTGGCTTTGAATGAGCATAGCTCTGTATAGAGGCAGAAGCTTCCAACACGTGCATCGTCCTTCTTTGTTGCCGTCTTTTCAGCCAATTTGATTCTTACTGGAGCTCTCCATCTCATCATGTTCAAGAGGAAGTTGACAGCGCTGGACTTCGACAACATTGAGCAGCTGGATGTTAACGGTGAATAGCCACAATTTGTCGTGATATTTCCTAAGTTAAAGTCTTGATCTAGGATATGTATTCTGGAAAAGCTACGAAGTAAATTTGAAGTAACCGGCCTCTAGCTAAGGTAGAAATTCATACTTCTGCATGGTGCATTGAACAAATATTTTGCAAGGCATATTTAGGGAAACAATCCTTTCGGTTGGTGTGGCCTATTTTCTCGGAGTGCATATGAAGTGGTAAAGTATACCATATAGATTTACATCATTGTGTTTGGGCAAATATTGTGAAGTGGTTTGTTTTCCAGATCCGAAGCAATTTCGGAATATGATTGTTTGGCTGGAAGACAGGAAAATCAGGCATTACAAGATGGACCAACGTGGTGCCTTGAGGGCGACTGATTCTTTGAACTGGTCTGAAGCCTTCCAGAGTTATTTGAGGGATCTGGCATGTCCTCTCTCTCAAGATGATTTGTCTGGTGTCACAGATTGGCTGCTTGGTTATGCTATTAGACTGGAATATGGGGACCAAGGTAAGACTTTCTTAAATTTCTCTCTCTTCAGTAATTGGTTTTTTATAACCATGGTAAGCTTTATTGAGCCTTGTCTTAATTTCAGTGGACAAGTACAAGGGAGTTACAGCAGACACTATGCAGGAAAGGAAGGCCAAAGTTCCAAAGGTTGTCTCCACAAATCCACTTGACAGTTTGGACTGTGAGTTGTCAGGAGCCTATCTTATCTCTCTTTAATGGTGTAGATAATGGGTATTGCATGTTATTTCTGTAGTCAACGACCCAAGCTTCATTAAAGGAGTAGAGGCATTGGCGAAAATCTTAAATGTGCCTAAGCATCCTGATCATCTGGTGATGCTGAATGCATGTAGCCGTCTGGTGAAGAATTACCTCTCTCCTGAAGCTCAGCAGATGAATTCAGCTCTCTCTGAGGTAAGGACACCTTTAGGCTTATCATTTAAATTTTTTATTTGCTCTTTTGTTTTTGAGCATGTAAAAAAATTGACTTGTCTTTTACCAGGGGAAACCGTTTCCAATTCAGGAAGCAGATCTGGGATTTGACACCGGAGACTACGTTTTGAATCAAGCAGCCAAGATTCTCCGATTACTCTATATTCATGATCTGAGAGATTTACAGACAAAAATCAACGAGAGTATTGTTGCTGTGCAAACCATTACAGCTAACCCCAAGACTGACACCCGACTTGGCAAAGTTGGTCGATAAATGTAACAAGACTGTGGTCCTAGATTGATGCCAGTTGGATGATACTGAAGTACTGACAGTACTTTGAAATCTGTGATGCTGAAACGATGCTTTGCCAGAATAAAGCACATGTTCTACAGCTCTTGATCTGCAAGCACTGTTACTTTAATCTTTATTGCTGACTTCCTCATGTACTAAGTCATTGCTTCTGCCCCATGCATCAGGTTCATGTTGAGCTCCTCTTGGAAATGGCGAAAGATTCAACATTCTTGCAACACCTAATCCTCCAAGGGCTGAAAGATAGCACAAATTGAATATTCTTTGGTCTGCATGAGACATGGTCTGATTCTGAAGGGGGTTGGCTAGATCAAGTTGAATAGATACCTCCACTGAAAAGTAAGGTCATAATGCGTCCTGGGGAAGGGGGGAATCGGCGTGCATGGTAGCCAACATATCCAGAAGCACCTACTAAAACTGCCCCACTTAGAACCTGACACAGGATACAACTTCCATTGTCTCTCTCCTCAAATGGAAGCTTACTCTCTGGCATTGCCTTGTATTCCCTCACATGTCAGTATCTGGGGAGATGAGAAAAGTGAACTCATTTGTCTGAATATTGATTGAAAATCCTCCCAACTTCTGTCTAAATAAGTAATGACAAGAGTTTTCTTTACTGTATTTTTTATTGTATACCTACTGTCTTCTACAGGGTTCTTGAAAAAAAATTATGCATTAAATGGGAAAGTATGTTAGATAACTGCATTCTGTTATTGGATATTTATGAATGAAAGATGCATGTTTTGGGTTTGCAAGTTTCACATCCATTCATTTCAAGGCAATGTAGGGTTGCCAACTGCTCCCCAAGTCCCAACTGGGACAATCTGAATTTGGTAGGCCTGGCATCAGTGGCATGCCATGGACTTTAGTACCAGCTGTATCATATTCAGGGGGGGGGAAATGGTAATGAGGAGTTTCCTGCTGATAAGGGAGAGGTAGGGCGAAGGGGCAGGGTAATGAGTAGGATGGTAGAGCTGCTACATTTCTTCTTTTTCATATCCCCCTATTTTGCATACCTTCATGAAAAAGCTGATTCATAATTGCTCATGAACTTGGATGAACATAAAAGGGGTGCAAAAAGAGGAGACAGGTCTTCCTGTTCGATGGCTTCCCCCCCCCCCCCCCTCCCTTCCCCTTTCTGAGTGGGAACCAGGTGAATCCTGGCCTCTCAGCATTCTTTGTGAGCTAGCAACCCAATGGCAGGTCTGGATTGATGTTAACATTAGAAAAACTCATGTAAGTCCTACAGCCAATGGCACAACCAGCCCTAAAGTTTGGGGGGGAATTCAAAGTTCACATGACCTGTCTTTCAAATGTCTGAGTGCAGGAAGGTGTTATCAAATCATCAGGAGAGATATACTCAACAAAAAACGTGAAATGGTGCAAACACGCAAACAAAGAAAAGGAAATGAAGAAAAAAAAGTTATGAAATGGAATTTGAACACTAAATGATGAAAATACATTTGATATCTGAAAAAAACTTAAAATGAACTAAATTAATTTCAGGATTCAGCCCAAATATCACTGCACAGATGTGCAACTGGAAATTCGTCAACCTGTATGATTCACACCTTTTATTTGAATTGTCATACTTCTGTTTTCAGAAAAAAATTGCATTTGCATGTATAGAACATTTCCTTGACATGTATCTGGTGTGACCTTCCCTTTCATCTCCTGTATTTGTGCCTTTCCAGCCTCATTCTCAGGTCATTTGCTCATGATATCTTTCTGCGTCACCCACCCCTGGGGGAGAGAAGGGGGATGGAGAAGTAGAGGGAAACTATTATGAGCAGGGGTTTGGGAGGGGTTCAGACCCCCTGATCCCCCCCTTGGTTGTGCCCCTGCCAACAGCTGATGGTAAAACTGAGTCAACTAGAGTGCTAGACATGAATTTAGAGCAAATGAATGAGGGGCCACCTTGTGAAAACGCTATCAGGGAAGTGATTATAAAAGTTAAGAAAACTGAATCTGTGTGACAGGAAACACTCATGAACCCAGGTGGCTGATTGAGTCATGATTTTGCCATCACAGCACTATATACAGATGCATTTTTTTTAATGTGGACATCCTTCCAGGCAGTGCAATGAAATAAATGGAAGTGAAACTTGCATGCAATAATCTTGCACTACCATCTTATATAAATTTCAAATTATAGAATGCAGTTATCCTACATCTCTATCATTTATTGCCATGTGAAGATCCCAAGACACATAGACATCATGTATTGTTAGAATGAAGATCCATCTTTGCATGGGTTAAGTTTCCACACAGGCTACAATCTCTGAAATGGCAGAGGTAAGTGCACAGGCTTGCATTTAAAAATAAGAAATGGAAGGGATAAATTGCACATACTTAGTACCATAGAATGTAGGTAGTTGAATTAAACACCATTTAGGCTAATGAAGTCATTATCAATCAATTTGGATTATTTCCCAAACCACCCTTGTAGCACAGCAAATTGGACCAACGAAGCCCTTTCTTGGTGTGTTGGCCTCAGATTGGCATTGGTACACCATCATGGCCCATTGTGAGATAGAAAATTCAATACACAGGGTGTACTTAAGTCATGCACCAATGGGGTGATATGGGTAATGTTGTCCTATTTGATAAAGTTTGAAACAAGTCTAAATGTGATACACCCATTCACCATTTTAGGGATTTCTCACCTGGAAAGAGAAGGCATTACCCATATAGTCCTTTAAGTGCATGACTCTTATGGACATCCTGTAGATCCAATATTTGCCCATGATAGCCATTATACATGTTTGTTTTTTTTAAAGTTGCCAAACCATATTTGCTAATACTGACTACTTCTCATTAGATTGATGTAATATTTTAAAGACTGCATGTGAATGAAGTAAAAAAGGTAATTACTTAATTTTAAGAATATTGACTCATGTTTTATGCCAGTTCAAACTTAATAGGTAAAAAAGTGTGATTCACTTCAGCCAGTGAAGTGAACAGATTCTGTGCATGCCTCACCAAATAGCCAAAGAGGCAGAAGGCATGGTGTTTTCCCTTTGTCATCTAATTTGATAACAAAATGTTCAGCCAAAACCAGGTATGAATTTCCTTCTAATTCGCCAAAATATCAAAATCAGAATAGGTGACAAAGGGAGAACAACACAACCTCAGCTTCTTAGGTAAGTCATGTACAAACTTTCCTTCGCTTCACTGGCTGAGGCAAACGCATCAGTGGGTTTGTATGGCATACCTTTTAACCTCATCAATAAGGAAGACTACCATACAGATTGCACAAGTTGGAAAATTTAACAGTAATCAGTCATGTTTAAGAGGTAAATTCCCTGATGGTATGACAGGAGATAAGTCCACTTCCGGCAAAATTGAGCTGACATCATCAACATAGAGAGTGCTTCATAATCCTGCTTCCTAGAATAGAACTTTTTCATATTTGCTACCTATTGGACACTTTCAGTTGGGTGGGTTGTGCATAAGTCAAACAGTTAGGGAGTTGAAATGGAGAGGAATTTAAAAATCTTCCTCCTGAGAAATTGCAGAAAAAAGGGACTTATAGCCTTCTGTCATACCATCACAGAATTCTGCAACTAGGTAGCTCCATAAGTACTCTGAATAATGAGAAATGTAAAACATAGCTTCCAGTGCTGGAGTTTCATGATTTCTGGTATTAACCCTGTTGCAGTTAAGAAAAACCTTTTTTTCTCTCACCTTGCTTTGGGGGTTGGGAAAGGAGGGAAAAAAAAGTTTTTCTTAATTCACTGAGTAAAACAAAGAGCTGTAAATAATGGTTAATTCACCACCTCATCCCTAATAGTAGGTCATCTTGGTCCAATATTGGGAACACCTCACAATCTATACTGGCCCAATTTAGCTGTGGACATTTCCATCTTTTTATGAGTTTTACTCTCAGGTTTAAAAATAGAAGCCCTTGGGGTCATAATTATATATTTTTTCAAAGCGTGGTTGGATGCTTTGGTGAGGTAAATTATCTATTATTCCTGTAGAAATCCAAAATGCCAATACTTGGGCATTATTCTCTAAAGTGGGTATGACATCACGATGAAACTTTTTTTTTCCTTGTGTTATATATAGAGTTTAGCTTAAATACAAACTCGAAACAGGAGTATAAACTCAAAAAAGAGTAAGAATTTTCTTACCCAAACAATTATTACCCTCATGAAAAAAGTTCTGGCTCCAGTGGTAGACTTCCATCCTGAAAATTTCCCACTAAAGGGGTAATAGGTCAAGCACAAGCATAAGCTGGCCTCCTCCAATTTCAGAGAGTGGGTTGCAATCTAGTGTCATACAACATAAGAGTAGAGCATATTATGGAAACATCTTCCAAGCATGAATACTTTGGATCTGGGAAAGGTTTACTTCCCAACTTTGCTGATGAGCAAAGAAACAGAATTTAGACCATCCTACAGAACTGCTCAGGCAAAGACAGCAATGGCAAGTTGAGTATCGCACATTTCACTGCTCAGCCAGGTTAAATGTTTTAATTTGGTAAATTTTATAGATAATGAATTTAATACAGAAAGTAATACTGCAAAGGTTAGTTTAAAAAATAAGTTAAGTCCTGTTTGTTAAGGAGTCAGGAATAATATTTGCTCTTCAATTTGTACACACATTCAATCTCTTTTCACACTAGTCCATATTCACCTTATAAGGCACAAATCATTCACATTCAAAATCCAATAAGCAATACAAGCAGAAAAGATGTGTAACTTGGAGATAGTTCGAATTCATTCATATGAAAATGGCATTCCCATAGACCCAATCTGAACAGATTCCCTGTTAGCAGCTTCTGGAGCCAGACTCATTCACAAGCATGGGCTTGTGGAGGGAGCAAAACTGGGTTGGTGTCAGTGGTATATTTTTATTGATGAGACTTCGTTCCAATGTAACTCATCCAACGTACTCAGTCTTTATTCCCAAAGGAAATTTCATAATTCAATCAAGTTAAAAGTCAGAGCTGTAGCTGATTGATTTCCTGAAGGTGTCATCTGGGCATACAGACTGCATGGGCAGAAAAACAGTCCACTCTAGTGCACATTTCAAAGACATCAAGAACTTCCACTCATATTTGCATCATCACACCCATATGTCCAACAAAGTGAATGTTATGAGCAATCTAATTGTTCAATCAATGAGTTTCTTAGACTTGAAATATTTGCGAAGATACAACACCTGCCAGGTGGCCAGTCCAAGCAGACAGCACATACTGAAAATGCTCAGGTACAACACTCTGGAGTTTGTTGATTCTGTAAGAGGAAAAAGACCAAAACACTTAACTGCCAGCAGATGCAAACTGATGGACAGGATAGGTTGTGGGAAGAGATTCCTGTCAAATTTCAAATGAAATTCTATGTACACTAGGCCATAAATAAGGGGTTTCAATAAAAACACTCCATCCATTCTCTGTGGTGAAATTAATCAGTATTGTATCTCATGTGAGCTTTGTTGGATGTAAGTCTAGATTCAAACTCCATACCTTTAAAACAGGAAACCTAAATCAACTGCAAATCATTCACATATGGTTCAAATTAAAATGTTAAAATTGAATAGAGAATAACCATTGATGATCACGAGTCAAATCTTATGGCAATACAGATTTAGCCATCTCTGATTTATCCCCAAATTTATTACCTTGAAGAAGGCATGATTGTTTGCAAGTTGAAGAGTGGACTCAGGTCTAAGCATAGAGGCCTACCACCTTTCATTTGGTAGTTATTGAGAAAAAAGACATGGTGACAGATACAAGAGATAACCCCCATAGAGAAAATGGAGAGTGCCCCACTAATGCTCAACACAAGAAGGCATTTTACATACCATTGGTATCCCTCATTTCCTCTTCACGTTGTCTCATATAAGCAAAGTCTTGAACAATGGATTCACTCAGATCTTCAAGCCTCTTCAGTTCTACTTCAAGAGGTTTCAGCTTTGATGCTTCCCCCAACTGCAACAAGAAAAAGCCATGAAAACTTTCCTTCAATATAAAGTGGCAGAGTTGATATCCTTATGCTGAGGTACAAAGGTGATAATAGTAGCATTAATCTTCTGAAAATAGTGATTCTCAACTCTGAACAAATAGGTGAAAGAAATGAATCATTATGAGCTTGGCTAAACTATTTTTGAGCAAGTAGAAGAAGAAATGCATTCTGAATGACGTCTTCTGGATCTTATTCTTATATCTATTGTATATAAAACATATCTAAAAAAAATATATACTGGTGAATTAAACTTCTTGATAAAGAAAAACATAAAAAGCTTAGGTTTGGAAAGCCTGAAATGACTAATACCAAAATGGATGACCAGCCTCCCTCAGTTCTTAGCACTCCATATGAAGGATAAGGCTGCTTTCATATAGCTTAGCTGATGTAGGGCAGGGTGTGTACAGAAAAAATTCAAACTCCAGCCATGGGCAACNGCGCTAAAAGGCGATGAGGGGGGGGGGGGGGGGGAGGGGGGGGGGGGGGGGGGGGGCGGGGGGGGGGGGGAAGATGCAAAAGTAGTAGCAATTTTGGGATAACAGTTAATAATGATTTTGGACTTTCAGGAAAAATGAAATTTGTGATAGTGAGTAGTTTGACCACACAGTCTAAAACCCTTTCTACTATCGCACAAGTCATTGTACCTGTCTCTATGCCATGATGCAAGTGTACACCACTGTAGAGCAGAAGTGCCACTACTTTTGGCCCCCCCCCCTGTAAAAGCCTTATGAGATTCATCATGCTGACTGGATTAACTCTTTTGCTGGTGAAGAGCTATTTGAAGTTCAACCTTACCCTGTGCCATTTAAGAGGAATTTCAGAAAAGAAGAGGGGTTTACTCATGTTCATTATTTAAAACAACAAAAAACTACTGAAACTACTGTCATAAATGGGTCAAACACATGAAAAGCATGCAAATAAAGCAATCTTACATTTGGAAAGCCAGGAAGTAGTTAGATCCTGCCCAGAAGAAGTGTTAGCATCATTACATTACATGATCTTTATGAACTTACATTTTCATAGCTTTTAGCTTCAACCCCAAGCTTGATGGTCAAGTGAACTTCTTGGGCTGTCAAATGAGTGCCTGGAATAAAATGGAGAGATATCCCAATCTTAGTAATAGTAGTTGTCAATTCACAGAAACTGACATGCAAAACAAAAAACACTAATATTATACCTGATGCATGGGGAACTTTATTGATGAAGCAAACTTCAAAAACATCATAGTCATCAGTTGTGAAGGCAAACTTTCCTCCATGAGTGTTGTCTCGATTCACCAAGATATTCCCTTTAGAATCTGTAACCTGTGGGGATATGACAGGCAAAGGAAATGTAAAAGTAAGGTCTTCATACATCATGATATAAACAAACTCCAATGGTCTACTAAAGTGAAGGCAGTAGACAAAAGCCTAGTGATTATGATACATGGTAGCAGTGGCATATATATGGGAGGCAATGAGGAGCTGGAACTAACTCCCCCCTTAGCCTAGCCAAAAAAAAAGTCATCTTCCCAGATGTAATTCCAAGAGCAGGCATTTACATGCCTGGAATCAAGTGTTTACACCACTGATCAATTAATCAGAGACACATTTGAAAATTTCTTTTGCAAAAGGTAATGAAAACATTGGAGGTTATATTTAAATGTAACTTCATAAACTTCCATGGTCCTTGGATGCGGTAGAAGTTATGACATCCTATTCAGTTGAGCACCTTCAACATCAATTTGGCTGTATTGTGACTAATACACAAACAACGAAAAAGAAATCCAGTTAATTTCAGACAGATACCCCAAATACAGGATAGTCTAAATGCAAAATTAAATTGACATAAAATTTAATTCCTGCAATGCTTTAAATGCAACTAGCCAGGTCTACTTTCAGAAAAAATAAAAAAAGGTCAGCAAACCTGAAGATCAGTCTGCTGACCAGCTCCTTCTGATATTGTATATTCTCCTGCCACAAGGACATCCTTGTGAACCTCCTCACTCAGGCACTTGCGGGCATTGGGCTCAAGCTTGAAAATTAACGCATTGCAGCCCATGTCCAATATGGCGAGAAACACACTCAGCCATACAATCACATTTAAGCATATACGAGTGAGATCCATCAGGGACAAAAGCAATCCTTGGGCTGAGCCTTGACTTTGGCCCAGTTCCACCTGCTAGAGGAAGAATACATTTTCAAAGATGTAATTAAACTAACATAAGGCATACCTTAAAGTCCAGGGTACAACTTAACCCATCAAGATGGGATGAAAGGTGTAATGAGGATATATCTATCATAATAAATGTCCCTAATACATCATGAGTTTTTTTTTATTGCAATGTATCATGTTCTGCACAAAGTACCGGTATTTACACATTAACATAAAATAAATAAGTTTAAGTTCAGTTTTTGTTTTAAATAGATAAAATGTTATAGTTCTGCAACTACTGCTACAGTTTAACAATTACACATTGTGAATTCTACCTTGCTCATAAAATTACACCCTTGACAGGTTAACACAGTTCACAGCCAGCCAATGCCTAGATCAACAGAAATATAGAGATTCTGGAAGTCATAACCACAACTGTCATCACTTCTCATTCCATTTTGAGAATTATTGATCATCCAAAATTTAATTTGAAAAAGATGAGACAGGTGTTTAATTTTTAAAAGAAAGTCAAATCTGTACTTATTTTAATAATGGTGAAGTTTCATGACTGCCTGAGGAAAAGACTCAATGCCTTTGTCCTGGCACAACCTGATGATCTCATCAGAGGGCATATACAATGGTATTAAAAATGTATATTTGGCAGAAACAACCAAAATGAACATTGTCAAGTCTAGAGATGTGTAGAGGTTAAAGTCTGCAAGCAAACTTTCATTTTTCCAAACTGGAAAGTTCATGTCCCATTCAAAAAATTTAAAAAAATAGAAGTTTAGTAATTGATTAACTTAGCCAGAAAGAATGCTCTCCATCAATGTCAGAAGGATACTTGTCTCCAATGGCATAAAAAATTGGTACAATGTCCCCATATAATTATTTATAGTTCAGCAAATATTTCCTCCAGTACTTCTCATGCTCATTTCATCAACCTTCTCCTTGATTTATGAGGCCTTGACATTTAGTTTCTATCATATATTTGCAATGAGGTTCTGTCCTCCATACATGCTCGCTAGAATATTTGATAATTTTTCTTCTTAGCATTAGAGGCAATTTTTATTATTATAGACATGTACAGGGAAGTTTTATGGGTGCAAGATATAAGAGAGTTAAGGAACAAAGGAACAGGAGTGAGACTGTGATTGCAAAAAAAAGTGGGCAGGGCTTTACATTCATTCACACACTTGTAGCAGCTCCCTGTTGGCCTGTTCCTAGTTGCAGACAAGACCACAATACCCCTTATTACAACCTTGATGACCTGACTTCTTGAATGTATAGGAATGGGTGGTTGACATAACTATTAGTAAAAAGGCCCAACTTTTCCAGGAACTTATCTAATACAGTTGAAAGGTTCAACTTCCTGAAGAAAGCTACACTACTCAGATCAACCTGTCATGGCAAGCAATAAAAAAACATAGGACATGTGCTGTAAATTGATGGATGTCTAATCAAGTGTCAAGTTCTGCTTCAAAACTATTTAATCTGCTTTTGGTAAGAATGGATGGACAAGTGAAGGCCTTGGCCAGTTACCATTAACAGATTAATGACTCTTCCAGAAGAGATCAACTTGCTTTTGACAGGCTTTCCATCAAATGAGTTAAGCAGAATTTCTAAGTGAGCCTTTCGATAGCATACTTAGGTGGTGCAGCTACAAAGTATTCAGATAGCTTGACTTTTTTTTGCACATTGGCAACAGACTTGATTTTAGAATTGAAATTTGGTTTCCTCTAATTTTTCAATCAGGTACTCCATACCACCCTATAAAACAAATTTTCAAAAACTCAATGAAATAGAAGAAAACCATTTTTCTGGAGCCCCTAACTGACCATTTGACCTAACATAAAAATAATCTTTACAAACTTTATAAAAATAAGGCAGGTTGCTCAAATAATACTTTCTGTACACTTTGTACCATCAATATTCTGGTTTTCTAAACAACAATGGTTCATAAATGTATTAAATCAGATCCAACCCAAATATGTAAAAGACTTCATGAAGGCATGAAATACCATGGCTCTCTGCTTCTTCCATTTTTCGTGTCCATCTCCCCTCACTGTTTACGCATGAACAAGAAATTTCAGACATCTCTTCAAGTCTTTTTGCATCTTTTTATCCAGAATCATCACCTTTGCTAGTTGGGCATGTTAATTTTTTCTATATCATTTCAGACAGATACCAATTGGTTTCATATCAATATGAATGGGAATGGAAGGGTTGCTGAAAATGTGACGTGGCAACATGCTCCATGAGGGAAAGGGCTTTTTTTCATTATAATTATCGTGATTACGTAGACACAACTAAGAATAGGCATAAGTAGGCCAATGCCAACAAGCGTATGCCAAGGCAAAAAAAAAGGAAGCAGCATCGCAGTAAGTCTACGTAAATGAAATTCTACTAAATATCATCTTTGCAGGTAACACATTACATACGTGCATTAGAGAAGGATTTAAGTCGGGAGGATGGATGCATGATGGAGGCTTAACCAGAACTGGGGCACACCGGGTATGGAAGTGCAAGTTGCGTGTAGTGACACGTCACGGCAGCAGCCATGTCCCTCTACCTACTCCTGCATGATTGGTTCGCTGCTTCTCCATGAGTGTCGTCTGCTCGTAATGAAAATCTCCTGCGGGTCAACGCCTGTTGAATCGCGTGTGAGTGATGAAGATACCGTAAGGTTTTCCCTCCTCGTTTAGGAGTTAATATTATGCGGATGAACTAAAGACCAAATTCACACTATTCAATGAGTGACTCTAACCCATGGATCCTCTTTCTAATATATATTAACGACCTCCCCACCAACGCTCCCAAGGTTCACCTCACGCTCTTTGCCGACGACACCACAGCCTGCCTTCCTGTTTCACGGAACTCCACGCCCACTTCCGTCTCAACATCTTGCGACATAGCCATAAATTCTTGGACAACCAACAACGGTCTGCGCCTCAATGCATCAAAAACAACTCGAGTCCTTTTTCTCACACTCCGACGTACTGATCCCCCACACACCTTCGTGGCGCACCTCATCCACTTTTCTCGGTATTCGTTTAGATCCTTATTTTCGCTGGGACAACCAGGTGGACCATGCCTGTCGCCTCTTGAAATATGCTGCAGCAGCTATTTACCGTCTCTCTTCTGTTCTCTCTTAGGAAGACTTTAAAAAAATGTACTACGCTCTTGCCTTTCCTCACTTGAGTTATGGAGTTCTTGCCTGGGGTCCTTGCTCTGAGCGACATGTCTGTCGTATCCTGTCACTCCAGAAACGCATCGTCAGAACCATCCTCCACAAGTCAATCCGTGTCAAATGTCGCTCTCTCTTCCCTAAACATAAATTCCTTACCTTCCCCAGCTTGGTTCTCTTTCACACTAGTGGCTATTTCCATGCTATTGTCTCTAAAAACGAAGCCATCTCAAATGCAGGCGTACATTCCTACGACACCCGAAGTAAAAATGACTACCACCGTTCAATTGATTCATCCGCCCTGGCTAGTAGACTAATCTTCTCTTGGGGGCCGCATTACTTCAATTCTATCCCCAGGTCAATTCGACAACTCAATCATACAGCCTTCCGAAGGCAGTTGAAGGAACTCTTTCTCTCACACCCGCTCTACTCATTCTCAGAATTCTTTGATATTACCTGGTAAACTCCCCTCCTACCCCACATCAGGGTTACTTACCCACCGTCCTCTTACTCGAGTCTCCTCTTATGTAAAGGTGCAGTCCCCCCTCCCTCCCCCCCCCCCTTTTTTATTCTGATTTATTTATTATTATTTTTTTTATTTATTTTTTTATTTATTATTTATTTTTTTTTCGACTCTCCTCATTTCGTCATTCTCTTATACCTCACCCCTTTTGATTTTATACTTATGTTCATGTGTTCAGTTTCGGTGCGTCCAATTCAGTTCTGTATGTTCTGAGTGTTCTGTTCAGTTCTGTGTGTCCTGTCCAGTTCTATTTACTTTCTTACTTATTTTATTTTATTTATCTATTTCTGTTTATTCATTTATCTATTCTTCTTTTCACCTTCTGCCTCTTTATGAGAGTACAAGCTGGGTTGCCCGGCGTTGCCCGGGATATTTTTTAGGAGTAATATAGCTGTTGTTCTTTTATGTGCTTTTTTGTCAGTGCTTATTTGTCTAAGTCCGACCAGACCGACGGGGACGGGAGCACTGCTCTGGCCATTTTCTTTTTATTTGTTTCTTTTTTCTTATTTTTTAAAAGTTGTTCTAAATTAATTAACTCAAAGGGGCTCTTCTTTCACAAAAATTTAACTTAAATGAGTTTCTCAATGATATTCTTATTTCACAGGAAAAACTAAACTCCATTTTCTCACACATATTCTTACTGCACTGAAAAAAATTCTAAATTCTAAATTCTAAAGTGTCTCAATCATACACCGCAATGCTTGAGAAATCTAGCTGGCCTGGAACACACTTTTTGGGACCCCGAGACCCCCCCCCCCCCCGGAGCCGCCCCCCCTTACCCCGACCCCCCTATGACATGCTACTGGACAGACCCCACCCTCCTGCGAAGGTTTCAGGTCGATATCTCTAACGATGTCCGACTGCATAGCGTCAGATGGACAGAGACAGAGATCCTTGCTTATAGATATAGATATTATATTACATATATTAGACTTCCCCACCCCCCCCTTTTTTTTGCCCGCTTCCTCCATAGCTAGCAGCTTTAGGAAGACCAATATCGAGAAATTCGATCGTTTCAGTTAGAAAACTAAATTTCATCCAATGATAGCATTTCTGTTCCCCAGGCTCACGGAAAAACATCAACCTCGAAGATTTTATTATTAGGAAATACCGGGAATGTCTCCATCTTCATCATAACCACGACCGAAAGCATTCTAATTCCATTTAATTATATCTAATTCGTCTAATGACGTCCCATCTCTCCTTCCTCTACTCTGGCGTGACAAAAAATTCATTTTCCGGACCCATGTTTCAGCTCCACGCTCAGAAACGTGGAGCACACTGGGATGAGCTAACCTGCGTTACATTCCCAAAAGTATTAAGCCAAAGGACGATATGCCAAGCAAATATAATTCAATGTTCAAATTACGTCAAGCAAACACTTGTTGTAACAAATTATTACTGTGACAAAATATGTAACAGACGACCGTTACATATTTTGGACTACGGTAAATTTGTTATCAGCTTATTCCAATACTTTTGGCAATATAAATTTTTATAAATTTATTATATATAAATTTTGTTTGCTCTAATGCTCCCTGACGAAACTTTTCAAATATATCGTCGACGGGACCAATGAAGATTGCCAAGAGAAAGGACATGGGACTTTGAAGAGGCTGAACAGAAAACGAGACACACTTTCAAAAATTGTGCCTGCTCATTTAGCGTCAGGAAGATTTCTGGGTTAGCTGCACCGTCCTCCGAAGAGGGGGCAAGCCAGGTCTCCACACGTTGCTCGTCGACCATGGTCTTCCAGAGGTCTTCGTGGTCGGGGAAGTTGTCGATGATGATGAGTCGAGTTCTGGAGCGGGAAATCACTTCGAGAAGCCAGTCGTCGTTCACGTTCACGGAGATGATGATGAAGGCTTCACATCCGCGGAAGTCCTTTGAGTGGATCACTTGAACGTCGAAAAAGGATTTCAGGGATTGCAATGAATTGAGTAGGTCTTCGTCTGACACCAGGACGTAGGGCTCCTGGTTTTTCGCCTCCAGATGGACATCCCGGATGGAGGGTTCCCGTGTGGCTGATGGTCGGACATCCCGGATGGAGGGTTCCCGTGTGGCTGATGGTCGGGCATCCTGGATGGAGGGTTCCCCTTGTTGGTGGTCTGTCGTCGCTGCGAGGGCAGCCCGAGCGACCCGAGCGACGCAGGATGCGACTGCCTTGAATGTGCTGCATGGCTTGTCTCCACTGCAGAGGTATCCCAAATGTCGGCCCGAACACTTGTAATGGTTCAAGTCGATGTACTCAACGGGTGAGCCGTATACGATGGCGGCGGGCACGGTGTAAACTGACAGACTCTCTGCTGCCAACTTCAGCGCTTTTCCGGTCTCGTATTTCTGGATGTGCTTAAGGAGATGCACGTTGGTGGGCTGAGACTCGAGTACGATCGCGGTGCGGTCTGGGCTCTCTCGAAAGGTTTTTATGATTCTCCCGACTGCTTTCCCAGAGGCGTCTTCGGAATGAGGTTTGAAGGTGAGTATCAGCCGTTTCATCAGCTATTTCAGTCTCCCGGTGGGATCGTTAAGCTCCTCCAACAATGGACAGTCTTCGACGACGATGTTTGGGGGACTCGTTTTTCTGCTTTTCTCTTCTCTCTGCTTTTTCTTCGTCTTCTTATTCTTTCCCTTTCCCTCCTTTTCCTTCAGAGCCTCTTGTACTAGGTCAACGACGTCCTGGAAACTCTTGATCTTGTTTGAATCGAAGCTTTTATACAGGTCCACCTCGTCCTTCCCCACCCGTTGCCGTCGGTGTTCCAGGAACAACACGTACCCAGGGTGGAGAAAGACGACTCGCTCCCCCCGCTCGGTCGCTCGGGCGATGAACAGGCTCACTCTCAGGGATTTTCCAGGGGCTGGGGGACCGAATATCCCACAGATGGAAGATCTCAGCATTATTTCCACGTCGCGTTTCTCTTCTCCCTCTCTCTTGTTCCAATCTGTTTCCATTCCGGGGAAAGTTGCAAGAGGGAAATCTTCTTCTTCCAAATTGACGATTCTTTGCGCGTCGCACTTCGACCGGGCTTCGTTCAGCCTTAATTTCAGGTCTTCATCTACGCCTCTCTCTTTGATCGTCCAACCTGGGATTTGCTTGGTGACGTGGGAAAATTTCCCTGTTCTCACCTGTTCCTCTTCGACCACGAGAATCTTGTTTTCCCCGGTCGTTGCTATCAGTCGACTGTAGTTCTGCCATTGGGACCCGGAGTGATCGACCACGATTGTCAGGTTATTCGGGTGGCATCCGGTCATTTCGCTTTCGGTGGCGACGACGATGGGGGACGAGCCCTCTGAGGCTCCATGTCCGTGGAATTCCCAGGCATGATGGCTCCGGCTGTAGAAGAGGAAGATTAGGGGAAGGGACGGGAAGATCGAGGCAGTTACTTTCACGATTGCGTTCTTTCTTTCCACGTTATCAACCACGACGAAAATAGGGGTTGATCGCTTGGAGCGTTCCTCGTGTACGATGCGAATCGCGTGCATGGCCCTCACGGTCTCGCAGGTCCTCACGTCCTTGCATTCGCCCGGATGAATGGAGAAACAAGAGGGAATGGAAAAGAGAACTGAGAGGAATCCTCTTTTAAATCCCTCCCCAGACTCCTTTAAATCCAATGGAAGGGTCCTCTCGAGAGATGGGAAGATCCTGCGGGCGTAATCCCCGATGGCTAGAAACAACTCGGCCACTTTTCTGGTGTTTCGCTTCACGCCTTCCAGAACCCTCACCTCCCGGCCTCCAGGGTTCACATCCTGGATGGGAAAGTCCCTCTCGTAGGACTGGTCGTTCGGTCGGAAGGAGAGGGTGATCGACTTCAGCGGAGGGGTCGACCCCACGAACCACTCCCAGTGCTTGGACAGCGCCTCCGACGTGATGATCCCTCGGAATCCCAGCGTGATCGGGACTTCATCCACCTGAACGTGTTTTCCTTGGCCCGTTTCCATCAGAAACTTCTTTAATGCTTCAAGGTCCTCTCCAAGACCCTCCTCTCTCCAGTCAAAGACCTTGATGTTTTTCATCCCTGTTAGGGCAAAAATTAAAAACTGTTTCAGCCACAAAGCAAGCTACAAACTAATTAATAAATTGCTCTAAAGAAATTTACTTGAAAGTTACATGGTGCCAAAAATTTGCATTAGGTTTCTCTTCACGCCTTTCGAAGATGGTTCAACTATGGTCTAGTGCAATTTCTCGCAGAACGAATACGAGGAGAATTTACAACCGTTCACGCAACCAAAACGAGCGATTTGGGCTATTTACCATACTGGAGAACCAATTTGGGGATGGACCCCGTTCCAGACATGCTCACAGACGAAGAAATCAAGTAATGTTATGAGGGTTAACCAGAAAAAAAAATTAAGTCGGAGAGAGAACACGTCTTGGTTCCGGTCCTCCCGTCTCGCTGAAAGTTAAGCCTTTCCTCAACGAAAATATTGATCGGAATATATTTCACCGCGAGAGTAGGAAATTGCAGAGGGAAATAGCAGTAAATAACTGAAATATATTCCACGTGCTTTTAAATCTCCCTTTTGCGAAAGTTGTGTCATTTCACGATCCAAACTACAGCATTAGGCAGCAAAATAAGCACATGGTTTCTGTCGTATTAAGGAGATCTACTGATTAGTGTCACGTGACCTCCAAATTGACCTATTTGAATTGGTATGCCATTTCATTTTCCTTTCCACGACGGCAGAGGCACCGGCCGATCGGTATGAGATCAAAATCTGCCATTGGCCCACAGGCCAAATCGTTCGGTAAATAATTTTTTTATTATTATTTCATCAATGAATACTTCATATAGGTGAGGAAATAGTGACGTAAACCTCTTCAGGGATGTAGTTTTGTTTAAAATTATCGATGTGGAGTTCTTTGCAAGTTGGGGAAACGGTGGCACCAAAGGCAAAAAAAAAAATTCCCAACAAATCGGCCACATCCTTGGCATCTGAGCAGTTGGGGATCAGATTTTGACCAATTTAAATTGCATTGAATCAAACGTCCACATTTGTGCCTGTATCCCTGAAGAGGAAAACAATGCCCGCCGATAAACGAAAGGAAAGGGATGATGAGTACTGGCGAAAAAAGGCTGAGTGCCTAACGTCCAGGTGATTGAGTTATTTTTGAGGAGAATACAGGGCATAAGGCTTCCTGTTTCAACGAAAGCGGGCATAAGTCTTCCTGTTTCAACGAAAGGGGGCATAAGGCTTCCTGTTTCAACGAAAGGGGGCATAAGGCTTCCTGTTTCAACGAAAGCGGGCAAAAGGCATCCTGTTTCACTCTCGCCCTACGTTCAACGCGTCTATCTTAATGCTGTACGTGCGCGCCATTCCATGCTAGCCCAGCCTACAATCCACCCTTCCTAGCATTTAAATTACCGCTACCTTTTTTATTATTCTCAGATAAAATATGTACTAACAAAAGCTAATCATCAAGGGCTTGCGATATCACATATACCATTCGACGCGTGGTCCATTTCGGAAGTCTTTCCCTCTGGGTCGTGATTTTCACATATCTGGTATTCCATTAAGTCTTCCAATGAGAGACCTAAGCGCCTCAATGAATTTCGATTTCCTCATTGTCTATCTGCTCATCCGTGAGATGAAGTCGTGTCGTCTCCTCATTGGCAGGGGAGACTGGGGCAAAGCGGAATGGTCGGTTTTCCAGCTTAGCAGCGTAACATTCATCGCAATGAAATTTTACTTCTTCCAGCGTCAAGCAAAGATGACGGGGCGACAAGAATCCGCGCGCTCAAGTCTCTAGTATTGTGCGTCTTGTCAAAACGAATTTTCGCTAGTTCAGTGTAATTTTCGGCTGTATTGAAATTTTGTTTTAATTGAAAGCTAAAAAAAAAATACAGTAGATCTTTGACTGCGAAGCGATGCTTGAATCTTTGGCAATACATTTCCATTACCAATAGGCTCATTGTTATAAACAGTTCAACATGAACAGTTATGAACAATTTTTTTTTTTTGCAGAAGGTAGTCGCAGGGCGAAGTGCCATTCCATTTTCCAGCAACAATGCCAATACGCCATTCTCTTTCGTCGGCGATGTGCTTCTATCTTTTCCCTGATCACGACCGAGCTCTCGTCCCGGCTGTCGACTCTGAGGGGCTTAACGTTGATCGGCCCAATCGTGCCGCCCTTTGTCCGGGTTTATCAGGCAAGGACATGCGATAGGATGTGGTGATACTTAAAGGTCACATCACGATTTCGCTAGAGTGAGTCCTAGAATCAATTTTCATGCGAAGGATTTCCATATATCGGCCAGAATACGATGATTTGTGCTCACCTTTCAGGTGACACCGGAATTCCTCAGTCAAGAGTCCTCCAACGATATTTATTACCACCACTTCATCATTGGCGGCCATCTCCTCCGCCCTTTTCTTCAGAACAAAGGTCTTTCCGGTTCCACAGCCTCCGCAGATGAAAAGGACTTCATCTCGGGACTTGACCAGTTCCCTTTGTTTGGGAGTGAGAATCACCAGCATCTTATGCATTTGCTCGTCGTTCGTGGTGTAAAGTTGAGTTGGGTTGCGTGGGAAGTCCACGAATGACGCCGCGGAGACATAAAGGTCAAAGATGTCCTTGAAGGTTTTCACAAGAGAGGAACTCCGATCCGGGTTCGAGGATTTCTCCAACACGATGCTATATCCCTTCAAAAATTTCTTAAAGTTCTCTCCTGTCGAAAGGTCTTCCGAGGCGAGGATTCGCATTCTGCAATTTTCACACCGAATCGTTTTCTCCAACTCTGACTTCGAAAGCATTGGAAAAGCTGCAAAGCCTGCCAGCTTCACGTTTGGGTTAAGAAATTCACCACACAAGGTACTGAACACGTTGAGGTCCTTTTGGATTTGCTCCGTTGCTTTTTGGAGGGAAGCACGGATTCCCTTGGGATTTGTGCTGGAAGAGGCCCCTTTGACCTGAAAGAAGAGCCCGATGATTTCCTCCCCGAAGTTTCCAATACCGAAGACATCATGGTCTCCGGGTAGAAGTCCATCCTTGGAGACGCCAAAATTCTTGATGAACTTATTCTTCTGCTGCTGATTAATCCCCTTGAGCAATGTGTCTGTGAAGGCGTAATCGCAGACTGTGAGCGATGGGACATCCTGTAAGGCTTCCTTGACCTTATCGAAGACCTTCGCAACTGCCAGCTGATCAGGGGGCAGGTCGACGTCAAGTTTCCTCGCTGCTTGGTGCAATGCCCTGAACTTCTGATTGGTCAGGATGTATCCTTCGGGCAAGGAATACGCCCTGCTGCTTGCCTCTGGGTAGTGCTGCTGCACGTATTCTTCTGCGGCCTGCTTCAGAGGTCTTTCTTCATCGGCCCCCATGTAAATGCGGAGGTGCTGTCGAATGTCCAGGTTTCCTCGTCTTTCGTAGCTTTTCACTTCTAGGCTTGAGAAATCTTGGCAGATCTTGCATGCAGTGCCCTTTAAAAAAAGAATGTGTAAAAAATTAATTAAAATTTAATAGTTTAGAATTCAAATTAGGGGTGAAGGAGGACCTTAGCTTCCTCCAGAAGGTCCATACTAAAATTTTTCCTCAGAACAGAATTTCTGTCACAAACGAAGGAACAATTCTCCATTCTCATTTAAATTTTCATGCTTGTTGGAAGTTATGTCACGTTACCTGAGAGAACTTGAGGTCATGATGAATGAGGTCGTGATGGCATTGGGTTTTACTACTTTAGAATCTGTGAGCTCCGAAAGTGTAGATTCAAGATGATTTAACCCATTTTCCCCATGGAACAGCGCCGAAGGCGCAACTAACTCACAAGCAAACAGATGCAGCCAAGCCACCATCCTGTATCAACATGTATATAAAGGTATCCATCCGTTTTGCAATGACCTATGACCATGCAGCTTGGGCAAACTGTAGCGAACATGCCCTCGAAGAACTTCATCCTATAGAAATAGTCGCTGTGACATTTGCACCTCGAATTTCTCATTATATATCTTACGACCTTTGCCCCGAGTTTCCTTATTCAACTTCCATCACCAAACATGCCTCCTCTCTTGCGATAAAATGTTTCGATAAGGAAAACCGGCTCGAGAAGGTCTGAATAAGACAGTCCTGCACAGAGAAAAATTGGCTCTTCAAAGAAAAGACTAGGACCCTTCCAACCGCATAACATCATGCCCCAGCCTCGAAGACGGTCAGCGGATTCAGCACTCCCCCCTCGCCCTCCCCTAGAGGATCATCCCACCGTATCCCACCCCGAGCCCCATCCACTCTCACACTGTTCGCAAGCCTTCAGCACCCATTGCCTACTCGTCTCGGCACTCTTCCATTGGGAGGCTGAAACCTGAACGAGTGCTTTTCGGATGCCATCGACTGGGACGAATGGATGACTCCCTCACTCGCATGTCTTCATTCATTCTTTTATTTATTTATTTATTTATTCTCCTACAGCCGCAAACAAATGAACCAGATACTTGTCTCAACCCTTTAACGTGCACCGTACGTCATGGCGTGAGCGTCGCAGAGTGACGTGCAGGGCACGCACACCGCACCCTCTGTTTGTGCTCCTACCAAGCGAATACCGGTGCAACCTTTTGAATTTGACAGCGGAAGCCTTGTGGAGAAGGTTGCAGACTTTCCAAAGGTATACTATAACATATATACTATAACATATATACTATAACATATATAATATAACATCGACCGGCTAGATCGACTTTCATTTTCTCCCCAGCTTTTCTATGAGATTTTTTCACACCCGGACGGAAACGCAGCAGGGCATGGGCACGGGCATTTAAATCCCACCACCCTGTTCTACCGCTTCGTTAAGTACAGAGTGACTTTTTTAAAAACAGTTCCTAGTTTCCTATTCGCGTAACTTTTGCTACGATGACATTGCAATAGCCCAACTTGCGCAGAAAGTATGGAAGACATGGGAGATTCATGCGGGCCCCATTTTCATTGATCACACGGCGCCAAAAGGAGAGAATAATTAGGGAATAACAGGAAGGATTACCTCCGTGCGAACAGAAAACGTTTCTCCGCGTTAATTTCCGTCGCCCGTAGGTGCATCTGGATTTTGTGTAGATATGTAGATGTTAGGGAATTATATGTAATAAATATGTCTGGTATTATATATAATAAGTCAGGTATTTGTCTTGCCGGATGGTGCATTCCTGGTATGAAAGTGCCATCAACACTGTCTTTGCCCACTTACAGGTCATTCTTTTAGCTTGAAGTACCATTCCGCAAAGAACAATTTCTGCTCCTCTGTGAAGGACGCCATATTGTTTCTGCGCTGCCCCTTCAGTATTTTCCCATGTTTTTGAGCCCGCAAAAGTCTTCCATGCCTTCATCATATTCTGTGCAAATATGGTCCCTGAAATGTTACTCCAAGAAAAGTTATGCGAATCGCAATCTAGGAACTGAACAAAAATCGCCCTGTGCGTACAGAGCGGTTAAAAGGTCCTGTAATCAACCTCAAGATAAACAACTCCATAACAGTGCTTCCAATTTGCAATAAATTTGCATACTCATGGAATCACGGGGATTAGAATGACAGCACTACAAACATTTCCCACCAGTCGGTCTCTTCAAGTTTCTGGACGAGGTTGACACCTTGCACGGACAATTGCAAGGTGTCCTCCTTTTCGGAGATGGATACGTCGCGGCGTGGTGTTGGTGCTGATGTGCAAAAATGGTTGTGCTGATGTCGTTCTAATCTCCATGATTCCATACGTATGTCGTGGAAGTTTCGTTCAAATCAGATGCGCTGTTGTGGAATTATTTACCTCGATTGCAGGACTTTAAATCCACCCTGTTGACCATCACCTTGTTATAAGAAGGGAGAAGTATCTTATGAAAAGGGAAAGATAAGTTGCGTGTACGCAAAGAAAAGCAAAATCACTCCCTCTCCATAGGCAATGTGGCAAAAATGCTTCCAAATCTGGAAGATAAGTGAGAAGATAATTATGTAATTATGCTGAAGCAGGACACTTCTGCTGCTCTGGGCAGCATAGTACTATGAGGTACAATGAAGTACTATGAGGTACAGTGAAGTACTATGAGGTACAGTGAAGTACTATGAGGTATAATGAAGTACTATGAGGTACAGTGAAGTACTATGAGGTACAATGAAGTACTATGAGGTACAGTGAAGTACTATGAGGTACAGTGAAGTACTATGAGGTGCAAAGGTACCAGGCTTTCCCATTTCTCATCTGCAGGATTCCACGGAAGATAATCCCTCACATCTTCCCCGTCCGTCTTCAAGGCGTCTTTCATTTCAGGAGAAACCGTCGAGGAATTACGGATGAGAATTTCTCTCTGAAAAACACGAGCGAAAATTTAACAAAGCGCGGTTTCCATGAGAGGGAACGTTTCACTTCCAATCTCACTAGTAGGTTTCACTGGATTCGCACGCTGTGCACTTATTATTCGCCTTCCTATGAGCCGGGACGAATTGGCATGTCGTTTTACGAGCCAGTGAAGTCCAGCAGGAATTATCTTCTTTACCGTTTCCTAACCACGCAAGCCTGAAATAAATGAAAGTTGTCATTGGTACGTCATAGACAGCCCCCCCCCCTTGGGATCAATTTGACAGGTTCGATTCTCACAATTTTTTTTCATTTGGCCACAATTACAGGATGGGTTATCAGATTTTTCATGTCAACCCCCACCTCCATTAAGGTGGGATGACTAAACGTGTTCTCGATGGTTCCCGAGTCCGCGTCGCTTAGAGACGGGAGAAGAACATGAATTCCAGATACAACATTATGAGTCAAGAGAGTTAGTGATATCAAGAGGTGATTTCGCCCATTTCGATATCACGTGTCGAGGTCGACCGTTCCTTAATTTTAGGGAAGACCTAACCCTCTTAAAGCTACATATTTTTGTATTTTTTTTTGACTATCCTAGCTGCTTACTGTCTAGTACCTAGCGTCGACCTGCCTCCCCGGACTGTATTATGTATTACGATTCATCGGCGACAAACTTTTCATATAAATATATGGGAAATAAAAATTCAATCTCGCAACTGAATTAGAACTGTTTTCTTGCGACTTCAGTGACAACGTCCACCTTTTTGCCTGTCCATGAAAGCATCTAGTTTCTTCTTAAAGATTAGTCACAGCGCGGGGCAGCCACATTCAACGCGTATGCCTAGCAACCCCGTCCACGCGGCCACGAGCAGCTCCTCCCTCCCATTCTTCACCATGGATCCGTCCACCGCGAGGACTGGAAGGGAAGTGGATGTCTCAGTGGACGACGGGCACCCCGACCCAGGCGGTGAGCTGCGCATGCGCAACGGGTCGTGTTGTCCGGTCGATTTGGATATAGCGGACAGGCGGAACGAAAAGAAAGCGACAGATCGATCGCAATATCTGCCATTTTCCTATAGTACCCATGGAAATGGCGGGTAAAAACCCGCATGTAGAAACTACTGATGAGAAAATATAGCGCTAGTTCAAACGAATCTCTTAGGGACAGGTAGCCAGAAATCTGCTGTCCTAATGAGCGATAGACACCCTTGTTAACTGACGACCGTGCAGGCAGACACAAAGCGAAAAACTGAAAAACGTTCTCACGCTGCGAACGCTCAACTGAAGATAAGATAAGATAAGATAATCCTCATCTCAACCTCAGGCATCATGGGATGGGCACCTGCTGGATATCGGCTGCGGAAGTCCGGAGACCCACTGGACATCCGCATGATATATCCAGCGGAAATCCCATGCAGCAACGTTAATATTTCTTATACACGAGCATGTACTTGACAACGGCAATGATGAATACAGAGAAGTATTAATTCCTAACATATATTTAAAGTTGAGGCTAGACTGTGTGCTCAAGAAGCATTGGGAATATCATATCCTCCATTAAGTGGTAAATCCACTTAACAGGAAGAAATCCCAACGCCAAAGGTCTGAAACCGTTGAGCTTGAAATACCGAACGAGGGATGGATGGGCGAGGCCCCGAAAGCCACATTTGGGTGCCTCAATTTTCGGGTCCGAGACGTACGAATTGTTTAGTACACTCAGTACATGAGATGTGAATTGTGCGGTTCCTCGGTTCCCATCCGATCGAAAGACGCTCATGAACTCAGTTCCTTATCCCTTTGAGGACCATGAACTTATACTCTCCAAGGGTTAAAAGGAAAACTCGGTCCTTCAAGGGTTAATTGTCGCGCAATGGTTCCGTTTGTTTTACCTTTTCATTCGGTCACGGCTGCTGCCGGGACCGAATTCACTGGAACTCGGCACCTTTTCACTGGAACTCGGCACCTTTTCGCTGGAACTTGGCACCTTTTCGCTGGAACTCGGCACCTTTTCGCTGGAACTTGGCACCTTTTCGCTGGAACTCGGCACCTTTTCGCTGGAACTTGGCACCTTTTCGCTGGAACTCGTCGTCCTTCGACAGCGTGGCTGAAGGCATTCTCGAACTCTGTCCAAATCGGCTTCTTCTGGTTCTTCATTGACTCGTCGAACTGAATCGCGGATTCAAAAGTTCTCCCTCGCATTAACTTGCATTTGTGGCATGAATGGGGAAAATATGATCTAACTGTATTCGTTTCGAGTAAGAGGGACAACATGTAATACATTTTCATGGCATATGTATGCTCATTTCCATGAACTTCTACCATCCCATGTGGTAAACATCGATGCTTATATGCTTATTTGTATTTTGGAAGTGCAAAGCTGGAAGCGAAGTAAGGACAATCACTCCCAAAGTTTTTTCTCCTGACAATTTTTTTCTTTTGCCGATATCCGCCCCAGCAGTCTCCGAAGTCCTGGGAGACACGTTGTAAGGTGATTTTTTTTTTTAAATTGAATTGGAAAAGATTCCAGTCACATGCATGCGTGCTGCAGTTCGGTATTTATAATTTACTTAAATTCAATTTCGGAACTAGCTGAAACTAAATTCAAGTTGGCCGCGGAGTTGTTATCAGGGTCCTATCACTTCAAGATCAGAATTTAACGTGGTTCGCACTTCGGTCTTCATTCAGGTGAAGAGGAATGTAACGACAACAAAAAAAAAAAAATACTTTTTCTATACCTGAATATTTTAATGGAAAATTACGGGAGTTCATCGTCCTCTTAATATGCTGAAAATAGCAAACTTAAAAAATTGGTCCACTTCGGAAAATGGGAACATTTTCCCTTCTGATTCCAATGGACGGAATTGAGTTGGCTAGATATGCAGAAATTCTCATTAAGGTCAATTTTACGATAATTTTTTTCTGAGCAGCTTTAACTCCGGCGCTCAATTCATAGCAGCATATATCGTCTTCGAAAAATCTTGAAATTAATGGTCGAATAACGCGGCGAGAACGCGAATGTTTCTCTCCAAATAGAATCTCGACTCCTTTCTCTTCTAGGAAGCATGGGAATTTCTCCCCCTCCCCCCAGAAAACATGTTGATGGGAGATATGTACTTTGATGCATTTGCACCCCATCCCCCATTGGAGAGAACATCAAGAAATAAAATGGCAGAGAAAGTTTCACACAATATTATCAGATTCGAATGGAAATTATTGTGCAGTAAAAACCAGAAACGAAAAGGAACGAGTGCAGCGGAACCGGTCGCTTCGGTTGAATGGCCTTCTTTCGCGAAAGTTCACCACTCGAAGGTGTGGCCCTCGGAAGTGTGGACGTCTGGGGTGTGGCCCTCGGGTTTGCGTGGCCCTCAGCCGATTCTCGTCGCCTGTCGGTTGGCGCCGGCGATGCAGGCTCGGCCTCTGAGGAAGACTCCCTCGTTCCCCAGCACCCCCGTCCGCGTCGCCTGCGACAGAACGTTCAGCTTCAACGGCATTCGAGCGTTTTTATTTTTATTTCTTACGATTCCTTTATGAGACGAAGAAAAAAAGGCCCGTTGTCATGCCCGTCCATTTCCCACAACGTTAAAAAACTCTTGGAATTTCGTCCCATTCGGCTCAACAATGATGAGTGAGGAATCTTTTTTCAACGTAGCAATATTGCCGCAACGTTGAGAATTGCCATCACCGCGTAGATTCGAGCAGACGAAATTTTGAAGCTTGTTCAAGCCCAAAAAAAGAAGAAACATGAAGCGAATGGAGGGGCCGGAAGTCCCCGGAAGTCCCCGGAAGTCCCCCTTGCCATTTTACCTTCTAAAATTCAGGAATTCCAATGGCTTTCACAGAATTATACATGAGAAAAAAGATTTTGGACTTCATCCAACTTCATCCGCTTGGTCCAGCGGCATGAAGGTAAAAAAAAAGGGCGAATCGGCTAAAGGCGCCATCTCGAATCTATTGCTGAAACCTAATTTCCTCCTAGACTTTCCCGTTTCTTCCCTCCAAATGACATCGTTAGCACATGAGTAGTCGGAAGATACCCGAAATGCCTGCCTTGAGCTGCCTTCCACATTTTCCCAACGGTACGGCCATCCCTTGAGGAAGAATTCTCTAAATGTTCCCATGTCACTAGAAAATGATACAATGGTGTCAGGTGTGCCTAGACAGGGAGGGAAAGCATCTTAAAAACTAGACCATCATCCATTCCAGTATTGTTATTTAAACCGACGTCACTCGGCCAGGACCTGCCCGCACGTCGCAGGGAATCGAGGCAGCGGCACTCACCCTGATACTGTTGGCACAGTCGACGTAGCGTATTCGGGAGGCCACGTCCAGGTTGGTGTTCACCGCAGGTCCCGCATGCGCAGCGAGGGTGATGCAGTCGGCCCACCCAGTGAGGAAGTTCGCCTGGGATGCCCGGGGGGAGGCGAGGAAGCTCACCGTCCCCAGATCCTGGACGGAAAACCCAGCGGCATCAAATTTTTTCATCGAGCTGGAAACTCATGAAGGACTTGACTGAAATTAATTGAAATTAACTAATTTCAGCTTGCCTTCACTTATTCAACCCTGACACCCGAAGTCTCGAGGAAAGATATCCAACTTCCTTGCAGAATAAGCCGTAAAACATTGCGAATATCTTCGATCTCTTCACAGATAATTACATATTATTAATTATTAATGTGTAATTATCACTCACTGAAAGCAGCCATTATAATAGGAGGCATCAATCGAAAGGGCATATTTACGTTGGAATAATAATTTTAAAAAAAATCACGCTAAGTGCAAAAACTGATGCAAAAATGGGGATTGGAAATGAAAATCGCCCAAATGGCAAGGACTCACCTTAATGCAAGCATTACAGGTTGCAACTGCAAATGCATTTTTGCAGGTGAGTCTGTCCAAGCTTGGAGCGAGTTGAGCCTCCGCCATCTGCAATTAACCGGGAATGAAATTATGGGCAATTTTAACCGCCGAAATTCCTACAGGTTGTGCTTTTCCTTCCTTGGACTTTCGGTCCTGATGTAATTGCACATGGTGCGCAAAAAAAACTTTCAATGGAATCGTTGCATTTCAATCTTTTATCGTGCTTGCAAATCAGCAATAGATTGAAATTTGCATTTTTATTGCGATTTCTTTGGTGATGTACTCCGCGTCCTTGAATCGGGAGCATTTCCATCGATCTCCCACCGAGCGAAAGTGCGAGCGAGTCAGAGCCTCATTTATGGGGCTCATTTATGGGGCTCATTTATGGGGCTCATTTATGGGGCTCATTTATGGGGCTCATTTATGGGATGAGGAAGACACCTCCAAGCATCAAGTGATGCTTGGAGGTGTCTTCCTCATCTTCCAAGCATCAAGCGATTACAATCCCCCCACCCTTTCGCTTTCACTTGCGCATGCACCGTGCGAAGATGAAATGTTGAATAACATTTCATAACATCCGTCGACCGAGAGGCAAGGTCGAGATTCCACCCGGACAAAAAAAATTCTAGCTGAAAGGAGCCTCAAGAAATGGACACAACCGCGTTCCTGTTCACCCTTCTCAACCCAAGTTGAAAGCGTTGCCCAATGCTCTCTCATTCGCACCAACGCCCGTCGCCGATTTTATAGTTGGCGCATGCCTAGCACAACCGCTCATAAAAACTCGCGAAATGGATGGGATAAACACCCCACTTTTTGGCCACGTAAACCACAGTGTTTGACCACTTAAGTCACAGTGTTTGACCACTTAAGTCACAGTTTTTGGCCATTTAAGCCACAGTGTGTGACCACTTAAGTCACAGTTTTTGGCCATTTAAGCCACAGTGTTTGACCACTTAAGTCACTGTTTTTGGCCATGCTGGTACGACTATATAAGAAGTGGACACCCTGTGCGCACGCCGGGAAACACTAGTAATAGGTCCTCACAAGGGTAGATGTTGATAAACTGCTTGAAAACTGCCAGATTAACTAATTATTCTGGGTTTAAGCCTCACTGACTAACAAC